AGGAGCTCGTTGAAAAGTTCGTCGACCTCAGTGAGCTAAGAGTGCTGTCTGAAGAGGTGCTTGGACAAGAGATTGAGCACAACCAAAAGATTTTGAATGGGTTGGGCGTGGGTCACGCGCAAATTGATGAAGTGGCGCGCATTTGCAAGCAATTCAACGGAGCTACTAAACTGACTGGCGCAGGTGGCGGCGGCTGCACCATTTCGCTCTTGCCTCGTAGTCTCGGTAACGAAGACTTTGCGAAGCTCATCACCCAACTAGAGGCCAAGGGGTTCGAGTGCTTCGCCAGCTCCATCGGAGGTCCGGGCTTGATCCGTGCCAAGGCTACCACCAGCGAAAGTAAATAAACCGCTCAATCATGAAGTAACTAGATCAGGCTAACTATGTATTATCTCGTTCTAACTACACACAACGACCGAGGCTTCGCTCCGGATCGCGCATGTCATTTATTCCTCTACGCCGTCTGGGCTGCTGGTGCTGGCACTGCGTCTTGTACCGGAACGGCCTTTACTGAGGGTTCAGCCGAAGCCGGCGAATTCTTCGAGGAAGCCGAGGAGTCACGGGTGCTGGCAGCGCTGGAAGCGCGTCGCTTCTTCTCCATTTTGTTCGCTGCCTTCACTTCACGAACGCCACTAGCCACATTCGTCGCAGCGCCAGCAAAGCCTCCAACAACGTATCCACCTGCCGCAACACCGCTCGCCAGCAACACGCCGCCGCCCGTCACAATTGCCTGCAAAGAACCACACGATGGAAGTTAAATCGCCGATCCCCGTCATACTGATTTGAAATATTCATACACAACGTACTGCAACAGGAGCTGCAACAGCACCAATCGTGGCCTTCTTCAGTCCGCCCATGAAGGTTGGCGTGGGCTTCTGCCCTGCGAGTTCAATCGTCGTCTTTTCACCTTTCGCTCCAGTATCAGCAGGTCCATCAACCACTGTAGCAGTAGAAACTTCCGCCTCGCTGTCACTAGACTGCTTGCTGTCTTTGCGCTTGCGGGCGGCATTGACGCCAGCCTCGCCCATCTCTTTAATGCCTGAGGCCACGTTGACAACCATGGCGCCAGTTCCGGCCACGATCGCGGCAGATCCCATGATCACGCCGCCCACGATCGACTTGCCACCATAGAGAAGGCCCTTGGCGGGCGCGTACACTGCTCCACCCGCGGCACGCTTAAGACCCTTGGAGCGGTCGGGGGCGTCCGGGTCCATCGCCTCGCCGAAGCGGAAGAATTCCTCGAAGATTTCCATGGCGCGCTCCTTGGTCATCGGCTGCGCGCCGTCCTCCAGTCCTTCCTTGCCGTAGATATCATCTGCAGCGACACCATTACAACAAAGTCACAAGCAGAGCAGTGAGCTACTCGCGCCCGCATCCTGTACATCGGCAGAGGGTGAGCGTACAGATCTTGCGCGTGTCGTCGTTCGACAGCACGTTGTAGGCCTCGCCGACGATCTTGAAGTTGGCTTCAGCCGTGAGCTTGTCTCCCAGGTTCTTGTCCGGGTGGTACTTGATGGCGAGCTTGCGGTAGCTACAGTGAGTGAGCACAGAGCGAAACAGTCACTTTCCTCCGTCTCCAACCAGCGGAACCAGCTGCTGCACGTACGCCGTCTTGATCTCCTGCGCCGTGGCGGTGCGCGCCACGCCCAGGTTCTCGTAGTAGTCGTCAGAGGCGAGGTTGCTCATGGTCGCGCGGCGAAGCAGAGGACGCGGGGGCGGGTGTACGTGGTGGAGCGTTGCCGCCTCGAGACGGAATGAAGAGATGTGGAGCGGGTGAGTGACTCTGTGTGGAAGAGGGCGCCGCCTCACGATTGGTGGAAAATGGACATGATTTTTCTGTGCAAAGTCGAGAACATAGGTACACTTTGGCTCTGCAGGAATGATGACGGGGCACGTGCAGCGCATGGGATTATTACCCTCCGGCGGCCAACTGAGAACCAACACGGGCAGCGGACGTCGCAGGTCTTCGACCTCTGCATGTGCTCATGAAATGTACCATGTGCATGTATTGGTGGTGAAATGCGATTGTTAAGTGGCGCCACAATGGGAACAGCCGTGACGTTGGCGGTTGCAACCGTCGGTGGTGCCTTCGCAAAAATGGCCGAGTGGTCCTCTGGGAAATGTGCGGGGTGCAGGCCGTAGCCGCCGTGCTGATCCTGTACGTCGCTCTGCTGGTGGCAACCGTGTCCGCACAGGATGGGGCGTGTGAGTGCCTGCAGGACCCGCCGACGAAGGCAAGTGGGTGTGGATTTTCAAGGTATCGTCCCTTTGGTGTCTAACGGCAACGCTTTGCTTTGGTGCCGTTGGTGAACAGAATGCCCAGCCCCTGGTATTCTGCAACTGGTATAACCCCACGAGCTGCTGCCTGCCAGTGCACGACGCGGACATCAACGGCAAGTTCCTCGCACTGATTGAGGCCGGCCCGGCGTGCGAGAAGTTCCAAAATGCGGCCAAGCGCTATCTATCCTTTGCTTTCTGCTACGCGTGCGACCCGGAGGAGCCTACGCACTTCACAACACCGCTGGACACACAGTTCTTCGATGCCAGCACCAAAACAGTGAAGATCTGCGCTAGTGTGGCGATGAACATGGAGCCCCAGCTCTTCTCGGACTGCGGGCTGCTGCTGCCCGATAACAGAGAGACGATCTGTTCGCCCAACTCGCCTGTAGTTCCACACAAAGTTTGGACTGGCTGTCAAGACCGCCAGCATGTCTGCCAAGACAACTCGACAGCGGCATGGTACTGCTCGGACTCGGCATGCGGCGAGGCCGACACACCACCGGGCTTTAACGACGTACCGTGCAATGCTTCACGACATACGTGTGACGGCGTGCTTATGTTCCTCAACGACAACAGGGCAGCGAAGCCGCCCAACTACGAGGATTACCCCGTCGAAATTGTCGATGAGCAACTCTGCCGAGAAGAGTATGGTGAAGAGGAGGCGGCTTCCAGGTGTAAGTGTCTGCACAACCCCTCCGCCTCCACTCGACCAACGCCGCCGCTGGTAATAGTTCTAGCGCTTAGTATCCTTTTGGCACTGGCCAATGTAGCTAATACCACAAGGTAGTGCAAGTAAAAAGAAACTTTATTTTATGCCCGCATGTGGCCGCCGTTAGCGCGATCCTTTTCACTCTCGGTCCGCACTTGCATAGTTTCAAAATCAGCCTTATCGTCTTCCTCTTTCTTATACCCGGCGGCCTTGTTGCCAAACCGCGTGAAGTACGTTCCTTCCACCAAAGCCACGAACTCGGGCCAGAGCTTGAGATGACTCAGCATAATTTTGGCTGCTGCCGTGAGTGGCACAGACAGCATCATGCCCACGACGCCCCACAAAAGCCCCCAGGCCGAAAGCGACAAGATCACAATCACAGGGTCGATCTCGAGCTTGCGGCCGAATACCTTTGGCTCCACAAAGTTGCCCACGAACATGTGAAAGCACATGGGAAGGACCACTGCCAAGAACTTCTCCATCGGGTTCATCAGGTCGGACGGCGTGATGGCGATGATGCAAATTGGCGCGACAGAAGCGATCATCGCTCCAACGTTGGGGATCCAGTTCAGAATAAACGTCAGCATACCCCAGACGATGGCCAGCCCCACGTTAAGTGAAACGTAAACGATCGTAACCAATAGCGCCACGAAAAGCGAGAGAAAGCACTTGAGAGTCACGAAGCGCTGAATATCGTGGTCAATCTTGGACCAAACGCCTCCAGCGTCACTTGCACGTGTGCGTGTGCACAAGAAATAAGTGAGGTAGATCAGGGTCACGAACATGACCGACAGCAAGTCCATCGTCTCCGTAACCACTATGCGCGCCAGCTTGTCAACGTTGTCGTGCAGCGTCGTCGTGATATTCACAGGCAGTCCGATCTGTTCGAGCAAGTGCTCCACGCCCGCGACAAGGTGGTTGTATCCAGTCTGGTAAGCGCCAGCGTCCAGCGCATGAACCGAAAGCACTGTGATGTAGCCTAGCAGTCCGAAGAACACGCACACCAAGCTGACAGCAACCAGCGACGCGAAAGCACGCGAGCAACCACGCGACTTCCGGCGAGCGTGGCGTCCACGGGATGTGCAAACGCAAAGGAAATACTTGGGTGATACGTCGATCACTTCAACCAACGGGTCCACGAGGTACCTACGTCCCAACATGATCCATACACGTCAGACAATTTCCAGGAGCCAAAATACGTTTAAGCCAAAGTGCTGCTCGTACATGAGGAAAATCGCGAGGAAAAAGGGAATCAGCACGGCCTGGAACCACGCCAGCAAGTAGCACGCCGCTGCCAGTCTGCAACAGTCAATTCATCCAAGTCAAGCAGTTAGTACAGTTCACCTCGTAGCACGCCACAACTCGAGAGCCCACCTACCCAGTTGCCAGCAATGCACCTTTAGTCTCAAATGCGAGTTGCCGCACTGGTCCGTCGAGCGCCGCCAAGATGTCGTTGGCCACGTTATTGTAGAAGGGCCGGATGCCGTCGTCGCCGTGGCTGCTGAATGTGTTGTTGCGCTCCGAGATGATGGAAACGGTGGAGGCCGCCGAGGGGGACAGCTGCACGTTGGAGAGGTTGGAGTTGCTGCGCCGCATGGGCGACACGTGCGGCGACTCCATGTCCAGCGACGCGTAGGCCTGCTCCTTCTTGCCCACGAGCTTCATCTTGGTCGGTCGTTTGCAGCGGGTTCTGGGCGTTCAACTCTTGCGGTTGTTGCGCGCAGGAGCGACGTCGGCGAGGTGGAGGTGGTCGCAGCGGGAGGAAGGGCTCGTGCGCGTGAGAAGACCCAAAGGGGAAGTGCGAGACACGGCAGTCCAAGCCTGGTCGCGTGAGAGAGCTGCTGGATGAAATGATGAGGGCACACTTGCTAAGAAAAGGCGTTGGTGTAAAGCACGTAAAATGGTGTTGCTCGAAGTCAGGACGAGGGAAATGTCGTCCGAATGTCGCTCCTTCGCAGCCGCAGAAATTGTGCGGCGAGGGGCCGTTCCAGCTAGATAAAGAGTCCTGCGGAGTCAACATGTCGGCGCTCTCTCCTGTGGCCAAGGCGGCGCTGCGTCACCCCGCGGGGCGCGTGAGCAACAACGGCATCACCGCCGCGGTCTTCGGATCCACGGGCTTCCTGGGCCGCTACGTCTGCGCGCACCTGGGTGCGTCTGCATGAAGTTTCATCCTCTTGACATTCGTCCCGGCGGTCCAGCCACACCTCGATAGCCCTCCTATCGCCGTAATTCTCTAACGATTCTCACACTGTTGCGACCGCAGGCACCAACGGAAACGCGTACGTGCTGCCGTACCGCGGCGATGAGAGCGAGGTGTCGCACCTGCGCGTGTCGGCCGACCTGGGCAACGTGGCGCAGCAGCCCTTCCACCCGCGCGACCGCGACTCGATCTTCGAGGCCGTCGAGGGCGCGGACATCGTCGTGAACCTCATCGGCAAGCACTACCAGACCAAGCACATCCTGCCGTGGTGGATCAACTACACGTACGACGACGTGCACGTGGACGTGGCCCGCACCATCGCCGAGGTGGCCAAGGAGGCCGGCGTGCCCCGCATGGTGCACGTGTCGTCGCTGCTGGCCCAGCCCAACTCGCCCTCCGAGTGGGCCGCCTCCAAGTTCCGCGGCGAGGTTGCCGTCCGCAAGGCCTTCCCTGAGGCCAACATCGTGCGCCCGTCCAACATGTTCGGTCCCGAGGACCGTCTGCTGGTCTGGATCGGTAACCGCCTCAACTACGGCGGCGTGCCTGTCGTCAACAACGGCGACGCCGTGATCCAGCCCGTGTTCGTGAACGACGTGGCCAAGGCTATCTACCACATCACCCAGGACCCCACGATTCAGGGCAAGACCTTCGAGCTCGTCGGCGACGAGGAGTTCACGTACAAGGAGCTGGCCGACTACGTGTTCGACATTACCAAGCGCAACCCGAGCCTGGTCAACCTCCCGCTGCCCGTGGCCCAGGCCATCGGCTACTTCTGCGAGCAATTCCCCGACCCCAAGTTCACGCGCGACTGGGCCACGCGTCTCAGCCTGAACGAGGTCAAGACGTCGGACCTGCCCGGCCTCCGCGAGCTGGACGTGGAGCCGACCAAGCTGGAGAAGGAGGCGCCCAACTTCCTGCTCAAGTTCAACCCCGGTGGCCACTTCCAGGAGGTGTCTGGATACCACTAAGCCATTCCAGCGGCGCGGCGGGCGGGAGCTGGCTGGGTAGGCTGGTCGTTCCAGGCAAGACACAAGGGAACGCCAAGCCTGCAGCTTGTTTGACCTGCTGCAGCGGCTGTCGCTGCTTCCACCAGCGCGGCCGGGGCAGCGGCTCCGCTTGGCCAGGGACAGACAATACCTTATGAGTGACAGGCAATCAATGACCAAAATGAAGGACTACTATCCGCTCGAGTTGTCAACATGCCAAAATGCTGGCGTGCACTGTTGTAAACGATCAGCTTGAGGACCAACAAGTGCATTCTTCATTGCGTTTGCGCAAATCCACAGAGCAGGTCAGAACGCAATACAGTATGCTTGCTGGAATCGCTGCTGCTGCGCCCCGCGCGCGGGCGCTCGCGCTGGTTGCGCCGCACTTCCAGACCGTTGGGGGCGGTGTGCAGACGCAGCAATTGTATGGCACGTGTCGCGCAGCGTCTTCCTCTCTCACCACTAGCAGCAGCAGGTCACAGAGCCAGGATTCGCCGATCTTGCGCTCGATGCTTCAAGTTACCACGACGCAACTCGCCACTGGCCGCCGCCGCTTCTCCACGTCTAGCAGCGATGCCCCGCTGCACTTCGACACTCACAATGTGGTGAAGAGTCTGCAGGAGAGAGGTGCGAGTCGTGTCACGCGCTACCTAACTTGAACTCGGTTCTAATGTTTTGGTGTTGGTTCTGTCAGGCTTCACTGTTGATCAGTCGGAGGCTATTCTGCAAGTGATGAAGGAAGCTATGGCCGCCTCATTGGAAGCCCAGTCACGCATCGTAAGCCACTTGGGTCAATTCATGTGTGTGTTGCTGGTCCTAATTCATTTTCTGCTGTTTCTAGCTGGCAACGAAGTCCGAGCATGTCGAGCTCAAGGCGGAGCTGTCCGAGCGAGTGTTTAACTCGACTCTCAAGTTTGGTGAGTTGCTGCTTTGATGTAGAAGTGGTTGGGCTGGGAAGCGCAGAATTGACACGGATGTGTTATGAAATCTGCAGATATTGCACAGCGCCACTCGCGGGAGCTGCTGGAGCGCGACTTCAACACACTCAAGCAGGACATCCGCATGCTGGAGAAGATCGACTTTGACAAGATCCGCATGGAGATCGCAGAGCTCGAGAAGAAGTTCTTGCTGCAGAAGCAGGCGGAGGACGAGACCCTAAACGAGCTGCGGCTGTCGATGGAGAAGGTAGAGAAGCGGATGCTGCAGTACGCCGTCGGTTTTGCCGGTACCATTATGGCTGTGGGTGCTGCCTTGCTGCGCCTAGTTCTCTAAGGCATCAACTCAACGTCATTTTTCTCTACTTGATGATGATAGCCACTTAAGTGTATTGGTGTGAGCTTAGCGGGTCTATGAGAACTCGGAGGTTCGTGGATTGGACTTGTCATTCACGCGCGAGGTCGCGTTCGCCAGCTTCGAGGCGCTGCCAAGGATGTTGCCGAGCACATTAGCACTGCGCGGAGGTGTCGCATTGCTGCTGCGGGGTCTATTGGTGGTACTTTCGTTCGTGACAGTGCGGTAGCTGCTTCTGCCCGAGGAAGGACGATTGTCAAAGCGAGAGGATGGATGCTCACGGCTGCGATGGCGGTCAGAATGTACTGGAGGAGGGTAGCTGGACTCGGTATACGGTCGTTTCCCTGCAAGGCGCGGGGTACTTGATCGCGTGCGATTAGCCTTCGACGGAGGAGGAGGCTCATTCGCCTGGCAGAACTCCTTTTCCGAAATCGACTGGGGCGGCTTGTTACTAAGAGGAGCAGATGGAGATCGAGACATGCTCCTAGGCTCCGAAGACCCATATCGGCTTCGAATGTCGCGATCGCGCCGGTCATCACCGCGGTATCGACGATCATCCTGTCGATATGCGTCGTTGCTTCGACCACTTCGTCCCCTATCAGCTGAACTCCTGTACTCACGAGATCGGCTGTAGTCGTCACGCCGGGCTTCCCTGGTTGATGAACCCGAGCTTGGACGCTCGCTCCTATGATGATCTGAGGAACTATCGCGTGAGCGTTCACGCGAACCATAGTCAGCATGTCGTCGAGAATCTGACCTCGATGAGCTACCTCGGTCTTGAAAGCTTCGGATCTCATATTTACCTCGCAGATCTGCAGCTGTCGTGGCTGACGTCGATGCACTTTGCTGATCTCGAAAGCTTCGGATCTCGTATTGACCTTGCAAGTCGGCTGCAGACATTGAAGTCTTCACGGATAGACGGGGTTTCTTGAGGCTTGCAGCATCTTCCGAAGCTGTCCCCGCTGGTCTTTTGAGGCCGTCAACAGGCTGTTTTGCCACTTCGCGCGTATCACGAGGAGTTTCCGGTAGACCTTCTGCTTTGACAGGATCCTTCATCTTGTGCTCACTTGCTTTGGGACTCTCACCTTGGGGCGTGCTACGCGCACCCTCGACACCCTTCTCGTTTGGATTAGTCTTTGGGTCGCCCACATCGTCCGCAGATTTCGAGTCTCGCTTGTCATTCTTAGCAGGCTTGTCCGTGGTAGTCTTTGCTGGCTTCACAGAGGGGGCAGACTTTTGAGCCGCTTTCTCATGCATCGACTTGTAGTATTCAGCTAGATCACGGTGTTGTTCACTTTTTAGCCTTTTCGCGACTGCAGGAAACGCCTCCCCCTTCGTGCGAATAATCAGCTTGCGATCGCGGGCACTCTTCACAAGAGCGGCCCAGGTTTCGTCACGCACTAACGTGTTCACGTTACCAACCACATACAGGCAGAACCGGGCTCGCGTGATTGCCACGTTAAGACGCCGGATATCGCGCAGGAAACCAATACCGCCACGTTTAGAAGCTCGGACGCATGAAAATATGATCACATCCTTCTCTCGACCTTGAAAGCCATCCACCGTGTTCACCTCAATCGACACCGTTGTCGGTATCCCAGACTTGGTAATTTCTTGTCGAAGCACGCGCACCTGCTCCTTGTAAGGAGACACAAATCCGACACTCCACTTGTTCTTGCGTACGTCTGCAATGGTTTCGAACATGTTCTGGCATAAGCTGATGCAAAAAGCAGCCTCCACGCGATTGTACTTCGACCCGTTCATATCCTCCTCCCTTGAGTTCTCCACATCATACAGCAGGAAAGGCTGGAAACTGGTGTGCGCATATACACCGGGGCAAACCTTCTGGACACGCTCCATCACGCTCGGGCCATCGGTCAGCATGCCTCCATAAAACCTCTTGGACGGGAAATCACGCAAGAAAGGGTGCATTCGATATTGCACTCGCAGCATTGATGGGGCGACGCCACTTTCTGCTATCCGTTCGAACAGCGATCGGTCGTACCGCGCTTTGGCCGCGACAACACTTTTCACTGTTGCGGGTAGCTGTTTCGGATCACCGACGAGCACAACTCGAGCCACGCGCTCTCGAATAGGAACCAGCGTACTCAGCTCCACTGCTTGCGCTGCTTCATCAATGATGAGGGCATCAAACCCATGCTTTAATTCCGAGAAATCACCACTGCCAGCCTTGGACAACGTGCAGGCAATAATGCTTGCCTTGGACAAAATGGTTTCGGTCATTTTCGCTCGAATCGCTGTCACTTCATCTCGCAAGCGTCGGATTTTACCCGAGCATTCCGTAAGCTGTTGGTGCATCTTGGCTAGTGCTTTTCGGTCCTTTTTCGGTCCATTCGCATCCTCCTCCTTGTTATGAAAATCACGGATGGAGCCGCGCAGTTGTCGTTGTGTGTCTTGGAGAGAGTGCAATTGGATCGCTTTTGGATGGATCGCCATCTCACGCCGGATAATGTGAGGTAAGCAAACCGAATTTACAGTCTCGGACGCATCCTCACCTGCATTGCCGAGACGCACAATTGAGATCCATTCCTCCGACATTGCCTCCGGGTGCACACTCGGCGCTCGTACTTTCGTGACTTTTCCAGAGCTATCCATAAGACCGTCCGTAACAATTCGCAACACGAGCTCGTTAACAGCTCCATTAGACGGAGCGCACAACAGTATGTTGTTGGTTCGACTGGCAGATCGTTCCGATGCTGCTCTCGAGATAACACGGCGCTTCACCACCAAGCTAGACCCCGCCTGGTTCGACGACCGAGATGACAGCTTGTTTTCCAGCCGACTGCGTGAAGAGCCAGCATTCTTCAGGGCTTGGATGCTCGTTCGACTTGGTCCAGCCGACGAGGTATCAGATGATCGACGAAGGATACTTCCAAGAGCAGAGGTAACACCACTCAAGGAAAACGTCGGTGTTGAACCAGCATCCGATGTACGGCTGGTGCCTTGCCCAGCTGTCACACCGCGAGAACGCGCGGCCTCAAAGTTGCTAAACTCTCCCTTGGCTCCGTTCTGACCAGTTGAGCTGGCTTTTGGGCTTATCATTGGCATTACTGCAGTAGCTGGGAGTCGCAAGGATAACAATCCGCTGAGAAGCCCCATGATAGTCTTTGTCTTGCCTGTTCCTGGAGGTCCTTGAAGCAGAGACACACCCATACTGTAGTTATTCAGCACACTATGAATGGACTGCAGCTGTGACGAATTGTACTGAGGCTTAATCGCCTCCCACAGCTCGGGCGATAAAAACCGAGGAGCACGCTCCAACGTGTCTTTCTTGTCCATCAGGCTCGTCCACTTGTCTTTCAATTTCGCGGAAAGAGCTTTGATATCTTTATCGTCGTGCTTGCGCAACTTGTTCACAGCTTTGCCTATGCTGGTAGACTGAACGAAGAGTTAGCATACGACGACATACACGTAAAAAAGCAAGTATCAAAAGCCTCACCCTCAAGTCTGTCAGCATCACGTCCATCTTGTCCAAGCGCTTTAGGAGTTTCACGATCTTTGCCTGACTTTCGCTTGATTTGTCAGCTCGCAGCTCGTCCAAAACCGAGGTGATCGTAATGAGCTCTGATTGTGTCGACTTGTACGCTTCTGGGGTCAGAATAGCCGTTCTCAGGTGCTCTGGCAGCATGTCGACCGAGCGAAGCGCGATGTACTCACGCGCGGACGTGACCAAATTACAGAGTGGGTTTACCTTCCACTCCGAGTCGGCGATTGCACTCGCTGCCAACACTTCAGTTGAGAAAGAGCACACACTTGCAGTAGCGTTGTCCAGCTCGCCATCATTCAGGAAGAGCACTTTAACGGATTCCTCTTCTTCATTCTTGCTACTCTTCTTCGTTGCCGACGTCTGCCTGCGCCCCTTTTCAGTCTCACTGATCAAAATCACTCCGAGGAATTCACGCTTTCCCATAAACTCACTCTGGTTCTGGCTTCCCACTGAAATTTGCAGGAGCACCACGTCACCATTTCGGAACAGCTTCTCGTTGAAGCCTCTGCTTGGTCGTCCTTTACCTCCAAACTTCGACTGGGAGCTCGCGAGTAAGCCCTCGTCCTTTTGAACGATGCTAAAACTAATGCACCGCATGCCTTCTCTTGGTTTTTCGGACTCATAACGCAAAAGGTGACCCCCATTGCCGTAAGAGCACTTGCGAAGACCCTCTTGAACCTCGTTATTGCATTCCTCCACCATCAGCGGGAGGAAGGCACGAACATAGTCTGCGCTTTTCTTGAATGTCAATGCAGGCGCTTCTAGCTCCTTATCAGATCGCTCGTTTTGAAACTCGCCCGACAAAAGAACGGGCATGCAGACTTGCAACAGCTGCCGGTAAAAGGGCAGCAGTGAGCAAACTGCAATCGGCTTCCGCGTGGTTTTAATCCGATGAAAGAGAGCTGCAAAGCGTAAATCGGTATCTTCTTCCTCCTCCTCTTCATCTTCCGGTTGATTCACCGCACGCTCTGTGCTCTGTTGCCGCTCTACTCGAATCGCCTTGTTCGAACCTGGATGTGAGTGTGAAATTCCCTTGATGACTTGCGCCATGTCAAATGGAGTCTTTGACTGTTGCGCTTGTCCTCTAGGAGACGGGTCCCTCTTTGACGGTGCATGGTACTCTACTTCGGAGTAAAAACTGTGCTGCTTTCGAGCGGCCGCTTCGTTTGACACCTCTTCAATACCAGTGAGATCCACCATTGCACGGTTTTGGGCTCTTGCTGCCGACTTTCCACTCATTGGCCGAGTACTTGAGCTCAGCATACTCGTAGTAGAAGATTTAGCCCTTGGAGGAAGCTTAGACTTCGACCGAGAAGTCATATCCACAAAGTTTTGCCTTCCACTTGATCCTGTCGAACGCTTCGTAAAGAAATTCGAGGTTTGGTCCAGCTGACGGAACTTCTTGGTCATGCGTCCGAAGTCGGTAGACTGTTTAGACTCGATAGACGCAGCCTCTCCCTTTATGCTATCGATCATTGTGAGGGTGGGTTCGTCAAGCCGAGTGTTTCCTTGCACAAGACATCCCAAGACTGTCATTAGCAGTTCAGCAGCTCGTTTCTTTTCGGACACTGCGCCTCTCGCAATGCACTCGACCAATGGTGCAATGAGCGCTACCACACGCTTACTTGATGCAGTCGGGTCTTTCAGCACCGACACCCAGAACTTCCAGAACGAGATTCCAAAATCAAGGCACTGTACTCGAGTTGCCTCAGTTATTTCCACCGTGATTTTCGCTTTCGGGTCAAACAAGCTGGTCAGTAGAGTGATCAGAAAATCGTTAATCAGGCTGGGAAGCTTTAGCAGATGCGCCGCCGCGATACCGGTGTCCGTAACTTGATTCGACGAGCTGGCCATCGCTTTTGCAGTCGACGCTTTTTGGAAAGCTTTCTGTAGGTCACCGCCCAGCATGTCGAAGACGCGAGACCACACAAAAATAAGCTTCTTCACGGCAGGCAAACAAACCGCCTCCGAAAAACCATAAAGTCGCATCGACTGAAGCATCGAAAGTTGACCGCGCAAAAATGCCTCAGCATTTCGGTGAACAGAAATGAGGAGAGCCTCCAACGGAGAGGGCACTTGTGTAGGTCTCTTCTTGTCGGCAGCGTATTGACCGATTAGTCTGTATAGCAATGCAACAGCAAACAGCAATTAGACTTGCGATGCTTGACACTCTACACTGTGAACAACGCATACGGACGAACCTTTTCACCTGCAGGTCAACGTCGTTGGTTGGACTCAGGTAGCATGCACTAATGTGCTGGGACACCACTGGAAACCCGAATGGATTAGCCAAGCCCTTGCGCAAAACTTCGTCACACATTCGTTGGAGATATTGTTGGGTCAGCATTTCGTATTGTCGCAATGTGTCTGCAAATTGCTGAAGGTTTTCGCTCGGGCTGGGTTGAGCAGCAACAGCATTTAGCAGCTCGGACGTCCCTCCAATAGATTCGAAAAGTGCTCCATGAACTTGAAGCGGTATTGTCGTGATTGAATCCCACGAGCATAGCTTCCTCAGTAAGTCGGTGGTGATTGGTTTTCCTTTAGTGACGGATTTTTCGATCAACCCATTGCCTCCGCCTTTATTAGCTGCTATGCTTGTATACACGACATGACGCGCGAGCTGCAGGTGCTTGCTCAGAATCAGGGCTGTGGTCTCTGCTGCTACGTCGACAAGCGACTCAACATTGTTGGGCCTCACGACTACTCCACACAAGTGATCCATCCACAGCTGCTCCAAATTCGTATCTTCTCCAAGCCCGGAGCCGCACGGCCACCAGAAGGCACTTTCCGAAACAGAATAGTCAATAGAAATTGATTCAGAAAGTGCTCCTTCGTCTCGACCCACACCGCTTGCGGCAGCGCTTTTCACAGAACCAGGAATGCGATGTTCATAACAATCACTCAGAATGGTAAATGCTGCCCTTGACGATGCCACTACAGCGATTGAGTCGTAATGCTTCGGGCGGAGATTCTCGACGATTAAATATCGTAAGAGCTCACTCCGCGTCTTCAAATAAAAGTCAAGTTTGTCCTCATTGGACTGCACAACGGGTTATGAGAGCGCTATTTACAACAGAGCAATGGGTAATCTGTACTACTTACCGCTTGGCTGGAGACTTGAGGTGGCCGCATTGCCAAGAGCAAAGGTGGCAAAAGCTCAATAAACTGTTTTGTAACAAATACCCGCCATGACGAGCGACGGCAGTGCTGCATGACCAAATTCAGCACCAAATCGGGAGTGCTTAAGTGGTGATTCCAGAACCGATGTCCAAGACATCGCAGAAGCACTGCAAAACACTTGGTAACCTGCATCAAATAAGACATACTGAAGTATAAGTCGACGTGAAAACATAGTAGTAGTTCCCAGCTGTCACTTACCACCAACATAATGGTTTGTTCGTCCGAGGGGTCCGGGTCCTGGAGATAGTTTAACACGAGACCCGGAATCGTATCGAACGATTCTAGCATGATTTCCAGACTGTCTGCATCCATTTGCTACGCAGTGGGAAGTCAAAAAGCAAGTTAAAATGTGCAACTTCCCCGTACCAATATGATGTTGTGCACTGTGGTTCACCTGCATAACATTGTCAAGCGCAGACCATAATATCTTTTTAGTCGGTGTCTTGACACAGTTTGTTGGCTCCAAGAACTACGGCGATAGACAAGGTATGAGTGCGTATGTTAGTCAATTAAAGCGTACAAAAGCGATAGCCGAAATCTAGCTCAAAATTACTCACGTTGTGAAGATCTTCTGTCGATTTCAGCTCCAGAGATAGCACCGATTTGTTGAATGCTTCACTTTCCAATATATAGACCCACTCCTCCATCACGTCGCGGAAGTATTGGTCTTCGCCGTTATCGCCAGTTAGCTGTATTTTACCAAAGTGCTGCACCATTCGTTGGGCCCATTCACTGCGAAAAAACACCACGTCGAAAAGATCATTGGCAAAAAATGTCAACAGGTAGTAGGACTCCAGTAAGTGCACTCAAATGATCCGCACCGCACGCCAGAGTCTGGTGACACCAATAGCTGATAAAGCCCAGCACATCCACGGAGGCTCTCCAGGTCTGAATTATTCTTCACTTGAGAGAACGGAGACGAAGTCCACTAAATACACACAAAAGCAAACGTTAGCCATCAGTTGCTCCATTGTAATTCAACCAATTCACCTGCCGCTCACCTTCGAAAGCACTCGCACAACGCGGAAGTCTGAGAGCAGCCGCCGCTGGCTGAGCACTTCGTAGAGCGTGAGAGCTACAGCCTTCGACGTCTCCTGCTGCGCGCTAGCCATGCCCATGGACTTGTCCGTCAGCTGCCGCTGGATCCGATCTGCATCCAGTCCTTGCAGCTTGACGAAGAACGCATGGATGGACTCGGGCGTGAACTCGAACTCCAGCTCCACGTGGACGCTCGGCATCGACGCGTGGTAGATGTCCACACTACACGAGCAGAAAGGATTGATTAATTAATTAATTATCCCGGCAATGCAATCCATGCACTGTATTGTGCAAGCTCAGGCGTATAGTATGCCGCCTACCACTTCGTGCAGGCGCCCAGCTGCTGCTCCATGCGCTTGTAGAAGACGCAGACGCTCTCAGACGCCGGGTAGAGCTCCAGCACGCGCATCATGAAGACCATGAGCGGCGAGTAGCCGCACCACCAGTGGCGCATGTCCAGGCTGCCCATGAGGAACTGGCCCACGCGACTGTACAGCCGCTGCTTGAGCAGCGCCGTCTGCTTGGTCTGCTCCAGCTCGCATAGCTGCCGCACCTCCTCCTCCAGCGCGCGCGCCTGCGCCTCCATGGCCTTGGCGGTGGTTTTGCAGTGGCAGTGAAGTCGATGAATGTGGTGTGCGCCACACCGCATCTTGAAGATTGCTTACATCTTCTTGGTCCATCAACCAAAGCGATGCGTATCAATCTGTGCCGCTGATGCCGGCACATCTCGACTGACGACGCCATGGTGCTGTCCCGCAAGGTCCTGGCCTTCCTGCTGCTCGCGCTGCCGCCGACGGCCGTCTCGGCGCTCAGCTACTTCGTGGGCGGAGCGAGCGGCGCCACGGCGGTGGGCGTGGGCGCGCTCTCGGGCTTCGCCTTCTGCGACCTATGGTACTTCCTGCGCATGGGGCTCGACGCGCTCACGCCGGCGCCGCGCGGACCCCGCCGCCACCTGTTCGCCGTGAGCAAGGTGCCGGGCCGCGTCTGGCTCATGGACATCGACCGCAACGGTCACTGCAACAACGCGCGCTTCCTGCGCGAGTGCGGCTTCGGTCGCCGCGATCTGTGGCAGGTACGGCGGCTTGTGCTTGATAAGAGGGAGAGGTATCATTTACGAGCGATCTAACCTGTGTATTTGTGTGGCGTGTTGCAGCACAACGGTGTGTGGGAGGTGCTGACGGCGGCGGGCGGCAACCTCGTGGTGGGCTCGCAGACTGTGCGCTACCGGCGCGAGCTGTCTTTCGGTCAGGCGTACACGCTGCAGTCGCGCCTGCTCTGCTGGGACAAGCGCGCGTTCTACGTGGAGCACCGCTTCGTGACCAAGGGCGCCAAGGGCGAGTTCGTGAACGCCGTCGTGCTGGTCAAGAACTCGGTGCTGGGCCCGCTGAGCCCCGCGCAGATCGTGGCAAAGCTGCCGGCGCTGCAGTCGGACGAGGAGGCCAACCCGACCATGCCCGCGGACATCGCGGCGTGGATCGAGAGCAACAACGCCTCCAGCAAGATGCTGCGTGCCGAGGCCTCGGCTCTTCAGTGATGACGTCGCCCCGTGACGGAACACCGGCGCCGCAGTACAGTACCTAGCTTTTTTAGAACCTGCTCCTCACGCGCTGATGAATACCATCCGGTTTTTTAACAGCTTGAAGTGAGCCATTGCGCATCCAATGTGGGCACCTCGTCATGGCTGTCCGGCGGTGCGAGTCCGACCAAGAACATGCAATGGGGGGAAGCCATCACCACCGCCAGAAAAGCTAAAACGCTCGTGTTCCGAATAAATATCGCGTCGCAATACCCTGCTGTACATCCGTCCACCTTCCACTGCACACGCACGAGGTGCGCGGGGCCGGAGGCTGCCGCGATGTGCAGTTGCTCCCCCGCCGCGAGATTTTCTCCATGCATTGCCTGCGTCTGGCACGTCTATTCCTCCTCCTCGCACTCGTCGTCCTCGGAGATCGAGTTGAGCCCCGACGCCGACTTGCTCGACGGCGAGGTGGCGATCTCCGCCGCCACGCCCGTGAACGCGCGCCGCGAGAACGACAGCTCCTGCGTTGCAACGCCATTGCGGCCGGTCGGTTAGTGTGTCAGTGATACAGTCGGGCAGCTCCACGGCGCACCTCGAGGATCAGCTGCGCCATCTCGTCGTCCGCGGGGAGCGACATGAAGGAGCGGAGCTGCTGCTGCGCGCTCAGGCTGGGGTGGCTGAGGCTCTCCATGTGTGCCAGGCGCGTGCGGTGCGGCCGAGGGGGTCAGCTCCAAAGTGCGAGAGCGCCCGCGATGCGACGAGCGAAATGAAGCGGGCAAAGGGAGCAATCCAACCGTTGCCAGCGGCAAATGCAGGCAGGGTACGTCTGCAACTCGAATCGCTAAGTACGATATTGGATTTTCGACCAATCAAACAGCTAGTAGTGACGTCACCGACGTGCCCCCGACGCTCAAAGTACTGTAAGCATTCCCCATGTCATCGCATACACTCCAACGTGTCCCCCCTTTTCAAGTTTTTATTTTCTAAAGGCACGGTATTAGATTTCAAAGTGCAAGAGCACCGGTCCGAAGCAGCAGTTTTAGCTTCTCCCCCTTCATCCCCACCTCCTTTGGCAACGCTGCGTGCAGGATGGTATAGCGGTTATCGGTCGCTTTCGCTCGGGCGTCATGTTCACACGAATTGCCCTCTCTGTCATACCTGTCCAATAAGTTCCCCTCAAATCGAGACTGATTTAACAAGGTATTTTTTACTGGGATAGGATGCAACGTTAGTGCTGCTATCGCAGACCAAAATAGGATTATACTGGGATAGGAAGCAACGTTAGTGCTGCTATCGCAGACCAAATCGGATTATATCCGTGGTACGTCAAGTCAAACAATGACCCCTCTTGACATGGTACATTGTGTTGAAACCGGTACTACTCCGGTGCCGTACTGGACCCTCCAAAAGGTTTATATGCGAGGGCAGATCGAACCGGTGCGCTACCGACAACACTGGTATGAAGCAGTAGAGGAACAAAATGAAGTGAAGAGACCAATTGAAGCAGACTGTACAATAGCACTAGTTTGTATTTATTACAAGATCCAAACAGATTTCAACCAAGGTTCGCATTTTTAAGTTTGTAAAGTGTTGCCAGTTGCCAGTTTGAACTGGCAAATTCCCGGGCAGATGCTACGGCTGCGAATCAGGCGCAGGAGATGACCGTAGCCAATATTAAAAGTAATCAATAAAAAATAAAGACGGGGGTTATATCAAAATCCTCCTATCCCAGCCTTCGCGAAGCCCTGGTTCTATGGGGGAAAACGTTGGAGTGGGGTCTGTATATGATTTTCTGCATTCCTACGGAAGTGCTGTTTTTCTTCGATGTAACCGCGGCTGACGGATCCGTCACGCACCAGTTCCGCAAGTGCCCAGCCAAGCCCAAGCAGGCTTGGAAAACTGGGTACTCCAACGTCCGGAAACATCTCATCAGTTGTATCGGGGCTGACTACATGAACAAGTTTGCGCAAGCGAAAAAGGATCAAGGAAACCCGCTCGGTTTTGAGAGGGAGAAGTTCGTCTCGAACCGAGAGCTCTCTTCGTTTCGTTGGATTGAGTGGGTTGTTATGCGTGACATGCCCCTCTCGGAGGTGGATAATGCGTTAACACGCTCGATGTCTCAGCTCGACCCGATTTGCAGCAACACTCTCATGCTGTACATCACGCAATTGGTCCCCTTGGTTGAAAACCGAATTGTCAACATCTTGCCTTTCTTCTTCGGCATCGTGTTTGACGGGTGGGCCGATGTGTCTACACACTACATCGCGGTCATCGTCACGTTCATGGAGAATGAAGTGTACTACGAGGTGTTGCTGGGCTGTTCCCCTCCGTTAAACGAGAAGTCGTACACGGCGGAGGAGCACTACGCTCTGCTAGAGTCTGTACTGGGTATCTACGGCAAGTCGATCAAGGCTCCAGTAGTCATCATTGGCGACAACTGTTTGACTAACAAGGCACTCGCTGACTTGATGGGGGTTCCTCTGATTGGATGCGGGTGTCACAAGCTGAATCTGGCTGTAAAAGCCTACCTCGCCCGACGGCCAGCAGTAGAGAAGACGATTGCCAGGGTCGACAAAGTTGTTTCGCAGCTGCGAAATCTGAAAGCTGCCGGAGCGCTCCGCGAGCTGACGTCGCTGACCCCCATCAAGCGCAATGTGACCAGGTGGTCATCGACGCACAAAATGCTTGAACGCTTTTTGCGCCTTGAATGGTAGGCCAGACAACTGGACGACATTGACTCGATCGGTCGTGCTGACTCGGAACGCCTTAAAACAATTATCCCGTCACTCAACGATTTCAGAAGCATCATGACCGACCTGCAGAAAAAGGGCCAGCATATTGGTGCTGTCCACGAGACTTTTGGCCTAATGACCAAAGATTATCCTGAGCTCAAGGATTATCTCGCTGCCGATGCAGCTATTGCGCACAACCCGCTCTTCGAGTCCGCGGTGGTCAAGATCATCAACGGGGAGAAGGATAGTCTCACCGTCGAAGAAAAAGACCAGGTTGCCTGCTTCTTGCTGCCTTCGGCCTCAGCAGCGTCGGCGACACAGCGTCGTCCAATTCAAAGTCGTGACAAGAAAACGTATGCCAGCCAACTACGTGAACGCAAGCGACAACGGATGACACCGAGCGAGGAGTATGCCGACCTTCGTTTTATTACTGGGACGTCGGCATCGGAAGAACGACGTTTTAGCAGTGCCATGCACGTGTTAAGATCGACGCGGAAGCGATTGACCCCGGTAAATTTCGAGAAGCTGCTCTTTCTCAAGCATAACCGTCATCTTTGAAATACCGACCTTGTAGCACAGGCGATGAAGGCAGCATCATCGGGAGCGGTAACAATGCAGTAGTTATGTCCGCAGTATTGCAGTTAATATTGCGAGCATGACCAGCATTGCAGTTCTTATTGCAAACTTAATGTATACTCCAATACATATTGCTACTCATAGTTCTCTTTACAATGCCCTCCCGTACAGTTGTGGCCATCACTGATACGAGGGTGTCATATTCGATCTTTAAATTTGTCTCTAAATATCAAAGATGCACAGGTACGACATGCCAAAGGTTCCTGATATATGCCACAATTTATAGAAGGTTGCTTGTTGAGGGTGTGAGGGTAGAGGTGGTACCTTCAGGATAAGTCAATACAAAAAATAAGCTAAAACTGGTACAGTTACCAGATCAGAGGCCGCATACCTTAAAGTACCTCGGAGCTTATTGAGACCACATTTACGTCTCACCAGACGGATGGTGAGGATATGCCGATCTATCAACTCTCGAAGGCCTTGACATATAGGCCGATAAGGCAGTTTTGGGCGGCGTCTAATCGGATGCCGTTGTTCATCAAACGGGAAGCCTCCATGTGCAACCCATGTCGTCGCATACAGGCCCGTTTCCCCCGCCCTGACCAGCCATTCATTCCGCCATTTCGTGGCTCCCAAACAGAAGAAACGCCCAAAAGGGAGGCCACGCCTCCCAGGTCGCCAAGGTCGAGCGCCATAAAAAGGATAAGGCTGACTCCTTTACTGCTGACGAGAACCTTAACGTCCTACGGCACGTGCATGAGTTTAAGGACATCAAAGCGACCATCAAGTTGTTCTGTCGGCGTCTACCACAACACAAGTACAGCAGCCGAAGGACACTGATTCTGCCATGAGGGCGTAAGCAGGCTCACATCGAGGCGCTCTACAGTCACGTCAACGGGGCGAGCAAATGACAGTCCCGTCCGCCGGGCACGGGCACTATTTTACCTATAGCGATTGAGTATGAGCTCGTACGGTGGGTCAATGCGCTTGGAGATGAAGGGGTCCCCGTAACCACAACGATGTTGAAGATACAGGTCCTTGAAGTTTCAAAAGTAGCCAAGATTTCCAACTTCTCAGCATCTTGGTGCTGGCAAAAGCACTTCAAGCGCCGGCATCAGTTTTCGTTGCGAGCGAAGCCGCGGTAAGGCCAAATCCAACCTCCTGAACTCGCTTGAATCGCTGCTGACTTTGCCAAGGAAGCAAGAGCGAAGACTGCTGAGATTGGTGCAACTTGCATATTCATCGCAGGTCTAACAGGTTCGGTTTCAAAATTATTTTAGCTTGTAATTTGTGAATTAACCCCACTTAGCCCAGTCCGTAGGACAAATGGAAGGACCAAAAGTTAGGCACCTCGCTCCGTATAACTAGAAACAAATAGGATCATGTGACTACATGGGCACAATCCCCCGTTCTAGCTGTCTTGGTGGTCTTTTCAGTTTAGCGTCCTCCATTGTCCTTCTCAAGATAAAAGCCGTTGAAAACTTGTCTCTTGTAACATCGAATTTTGCCGATTTGTCCTAGCCTAGGACAATTTTGACTTGATTTCATTATGTTCTCAGCTGGAGCTATCTTTAGCGCTGATTTCCCTGCCCGATTCGCCTTATAGAGAGTGCGGTTTGCGGTGTTTGAAAGTGGACGTTTTAGCAAGGTGGCAGAACGTGATGACGAACGTGTCAATGGACATGAGGCAGACCACCTGCGAGGTGAGTGCGTGCCAGGCAATTCCAAAAGAAGGAGAAAGAGGAAATGCAGCAGTGGGCGGCACAAGGGACCGGCTGCTGACGAGACGAGGGCTCTACCAGGGAGTCAAGAGGTGGAAGAGGTGGACAGCAGGTCATCGGCTGCTGAGCGGGCCGACTCGGACAGCCAAGTGTCGAGTGATGCTGCGAGTGTGGGGCGTCTATCAACGCCTCCTTGCACAGCACTTCGTGAGTACACAGGCCCGAGAGGCACTCGCCCTAAAGACCCTCCAGTGACACGGAGCGGTCGGGTAAGTAAACCGCCCACGTGATTTGGTGACTACGTCTATATTGCCTACGAAAATACAAATCCAGATGATGATGTGAATTCGTTGCCTGCTGGATGGAGGAAAGCACGAGCTGAGTTGCAACGTGCTACGGCGAACGAGTTGATCCTTGCATGGTGGGAGGACTATTGCTGCATGAGTACTGGCAAGTTTGAAGAGCCAGATACTTTCGGTGACGCTATGGAGAGTGAGCACTCATTGCAATGGAAAAATGCAGCTGATGATGAGTTTGATTCGTTGATGAAGAACGATACCTGGGAGTTGGTGCCGCGTGAGAAGCACATGAAAGTGCTGCAGAATCGCTGGATCTTTCGCGTCAAGTATCTAGCGAACGGAGAGATCGGAAGATTCAAAGCGAGGCTCGTGATCAAGGGCTTCATGCAGATTTATGGTATCGACTACCTAGAGGTGTACTCGCCTGTTGTGAGGCTGGAGACACTGCGTGTTCTCTTGACACTGACGGCTGTCTGGAATTATGAAGTGCATCAGATGGATGTCACTACTGCTTTCTTGAATGGGGCGATTGACGTGGAGGTCTATATGGAGCAGCCTGAAGGCTACAAAGTGAAAGGCAAAGAGGACTGGGTGTGCAGATTGAAGAAGAGCCTGTACGGCTTGAAGCAGGCGCCCAGAGTGTGGTTTCAGCTGCTCAAGTCGTTCTTGGAGGAGCAGGGCTTCACGATGCTGCAGTCGGAGGCCTGCGTGGCTGTTAAAGTAATTGATGGACAGTTGGTCTTCATCCCTCTCTATGTTGATGATCTGATTTTGTTTGCTCCGTCGATGGAGCTCATCAACAAGATGAAGAAGATGTTCGAGGACCGGTTTGCGATGAAGGATCTCGGGGAGTTACACTACATTCTAGGCTGGGAGATCACGCGGAACCGGGCCGAGAGAACGATGTTCATTGGTCAGCAGAAGTATGCCGAGACCGTGCTCAAGCGGTTCAACATGCAGGACTGCAATGGCTGCAAGACGCCGAGCACGGCGGATCTGAAGCTGAGCAAGGCCATGTGTCCGACCGAAAACGATGAAAGGCAACTGATGAGATCGACGCCATATCGTGCTGTGGTTGGCAGCCTGATGTACCTGATGCTCGGTACCCGGCCCGATCTGGCCTACCTAGTTAGAGAGTGCAGTCAGTTCTTGGAAAACCCAGGTCTGTTGCATTGGAGAGCTGCAAAACGTGGATTGCGCTACCCGAAAGACACAGCGGACTGGGGGGTCCAGCTTGGTGGCGTAGCGTGGTCAGATCAAAAGCTGGATGATCATCTGAGAGCATACGCAGATGCGGCTTTTGCAAATCGAGTTGATGATCGAAAGTCTATTGCAGGCTACGTGACTCAATTTTGTGGGAGCATCATTTCGTGGAGCAGCCAGACGGAGAAGACCGTCGCGCTGCACACGACCGAGGCCGAATATATGGCTCTTAGTCTACTGGTGCAGGAGGTGGTGCACTTGCGCCAAATACTGAAGGAGCTGCAGGTGCTGCAAATTCAGCCATCCCAAGTCTTTGTTGACAACGAAAGTGCAAAGAAGCTTGCCAGCAACCCTGTGTTTCATTCTCGGACCAAGCACATCGATGTGCGCCACCACTTCGTGCGTGAGCGCATCGATTTGAAGGAAATTGACGTGCTTCGGGTGCCAGGAGTTGATAACGTGGCCGATGCTTTTACAAAGCCATTGGCACGTCCGGCATTAGAAAAACACAGAGCTGCAATGGGATTATTGCCAAGGGCAAGATTTGGAGATGCAAGTTGATGGGAATCCGTAGGTGGGGCCGTTGCGGATTATACTGTCCCCACTATACCACTTGCAGTTGGAGTAAGACAAAAGGTGGAAGAGAAGAATCTAGGCCTCAGTTGAGAATATACACATGACCAACAAGGTGGCTTTTGCCGCCCAGCTGAGTGTTGTCGTTGCTTCCATCTCTGCGTGAGCAGCACCAAGAGGACACTCCACTTCAGGTTATGAGCCCAAGGCTCACGCGAGGGGAGCACAGCAACTAGGACGTCATGGGCGAGCAGAAGAAGACGCCCAAGGAGTCACACGAGGAGAAGAGGACGATCCCGCCGTTTGACGGCAAGGACTACGAGGTCTGGCACGAGCGAGACAAGCTCAAGCAGGAGAGGAAGAAGCTGTGGAAGTACTGCATGGAGGACTTGCTCGAGCCAGACGAGAGCAAGGAGGCGAAGGAGCACCCGAACGGCTACAAAGTGAAAGGCAAAGAGGACTGGGTGTGCAGATTGAAGAAGAGCCTGTACGGCTTGAAGCAGGCGCCCAGAGTGTGGTTTCAGCTGCTCAAGTCGTTCTTGGAGGAGCAGGGCTTCACGATGCTGCAGTCGGAGGCCTGCGTGGCTGTTAAAGTAATTGATGGACAGTTGGTCTTCATCCCTCTCTATGTTGATGATCTGATTTTGTTTGCTCCGTCGATGGAGCTCATCAACAAGATGAAGAAGATGTTCGAGGACCGGTTTGCGATGAAGGATCTCGGGGAGTTACACTACATTCTAGGCTGGGAGATCACGCGGAACCGGGCCGAGAGAACGATGTTCATTGGTCAGCAGAAGTATGCCCTTATATTTCGGGCTCCCTAGGACAAAAACGGCCGGTGTGTGCCACACCAAAACACGATTTGGTCCTATCTCCTAGGACAAATCTAAGTGGGGCTAACCAACTAATTGTGTTTTTAACACTGTCTGACTGAGAAAACCCTACCGATTTTCGAAGTTTGCATTTTTTTCAACTAGTTTTATCGCGGCTAAAGCTGCAATTTCGCGGCTTAGACATATCAGTGGCTATATGCGGACTGCAACAAGTGCTATTGCCTTCGTATGCCAATGTGTGTGCGCCTGCTGTTGCCCAATACCTGCCCAACAGCTCACTGGATTCGCTCAGAATTTGCCGATTTGGCCCCTATCGTATTGTAGAATATATCCAACGTAAATCGATGTTAGAAGTATGTCCTTACAGAATAGAATGCGATCTTACTTAGCACATCAATTTACTGCTGAACTGCTATATTGTGACTAGATATGAGCCGATAAAAATGGCTTCTAGGTGAGGAGGTCGTTGAAAAGCAACTTGATCGTCTTGCTGTCGTCACATCGCAACTTTGTCCGCCAATCACATCACACGAATTATGCACAATCAGACGATATCGTCTAATGATCTGGTTTGCGTAATCAAAAGCTGAGGCCACGCAGTGCAAGCGTTCAACTTTCGATAGCTTGCGCAGTAGGGCGATCCAAAGCACAGGACCTCCTTCATTTCGAATATCACGAAATGTACTGTAAGATGGATGAAGCCTTGCGTTCATTAACTACATATTTGAAAATTTTAAAATCGACAATGTCCCGAAAACGGGCTAGATGCGGTAAGGTTTTCCCAGTCAACCATTGTTAAAGCTGCTTGTTTTGAGTACCTGCCCAAAACGACAACAGCAAAGAAAGGTAGCAAGACCGTGTGAGTCAAGTGCGCTGGAAACGAGAAGGATCGTACGATGGTTATGCTGCTTGGGGACTCCCTGGGCTCGAAGTATAGTCATTTCATCGTATTCAAAGTCCGCGAATCCAAGATTGAAATCAGGCGCCAAGAAAACAAGACTTTTCGTCATGAGTTCAGCCGAGGTATGTGGAAGGACGGCATCGCCCTCGCCCAGCAAAAGTACGCCATACAAGTATATGCAAATGACAAAGGTAAACAGACAAGCTTACTTTGTAATTAATTATGATACTTATTGTTTTGTGCTAAATACAGGTTAGTGAAATAGTGATTTACAAGTGCAATGACTGTATTTTTTCACTTTGGGAACCCTTCCGATCCTTCCGAACTTATATTGCTGATCGACGACTTTTCCTGTCACCGGACCGATGAAGCCGCGGCGTACGCAACTGAAATTGGTGTTGCGGCTCTCAAGATTCCGCCCAATTCAACCTCGGTGTGCCAGCCACCGCAACCCCGGTGTACCCTTCAAGCTGCAAGTTCCAGACAGACTCAATTTGTGTAAGTGGGTGCATGAAGCCTGGAATGATATTGCACCCGCAACTATCATTTTAGGCTTCAAAACCTGTGGTCTAATTGATGCACCTGAGGACATTCAGGAGGCGGAACCAGTCCAGATTGGAGATGCCGAAACAAGCGTCAATGTAGTTCTCGATACAAGCGAAGTAGACCAGGAGGTGGGCATCTTTGTTTAGATGACGATTTTGATGACGTTTTTCGTAATGTTGCTTCACTAAGCTAATACATATCTACATGTTTTAAGCTACGTGTATTGTGCTTTGCAGACGTTTTGGCACTTCGGACTGTAACTCGTACGACTTATCGAGCACGACTTACTGATAAATCGTACTCGAGTACGAATTGCTGTAAGTCGTGCATGGCCAATCAGTAGTACGCATACGCCATCGCCTGCATGATTAAGCACATCCAGTACAGATTAGCATCAGTTTGGCGCTTTTGGAAAGTGTCATTTCCGAGTCAAACCGGGGTCGAAACACGACTTGAGGAACTCGCATTCAAGGCCACTATGATTTACCGCTAAGTACGAACACTAAGTAGTGCACTAAATAGGAGGGCAAACTGGACGCAAAGCACAATACGTTTCCTCCCTACAATTCCATTTATCCGGGTCATGTTCAATCCTCTCTATAACCTGGAATCAGCCTGTTTGCGATTACATAAGGAATGCGGTAAGCTTGCAGAACTGACACAACTGCCAAACGTTTATTCCTTGCAGACTTCACCTAGAGTCATTCCTAAGGGGCTGGTCAGGCAAGTTATCGTGGATTTTAATTGGCTAAAATTAAAATCCGTTTAGGGGTTGTTTGGAACCGACATGATCAACTTTGTGGATCAGAGCTAATTATGTGAGGAGCTTCCTCGCTTAAAAACAAAGTTTAAGTGACGAAGAAGTTCGAACACTCCATATTCTTTTTAAAGGAGGGCAACTGTCGCACACACGTGCTGCGCACCGACAGTGGGGGCGAGTACATGAACGTTTAGGACTTCTACCACGCTACTGGTGTGCGTCGGTAAGTTATTGAAGCCTACAGCCAGGTCTTGAACGGCAAATCCGATCGAATGCACAGAACGATCTTCAACATGGCTGGCCGCATGTTGTTTGTAAGAGGGCTGCCACTCAAGTTCTGGGGGTGAGCAGTCGAGTACGTTGCGTATGTGCTCAACCGCAGTGCGTGCAGTGCCAACTTCGGGCGGATGTCGCCCATTGGGGTACTGACTGGCAAGTGCCCGGACATAGCGGACATCCTGACTTTCGGCAATTCGTGAACTGCGTATCGAGATTCATGCAAGAAAGTCTGGTAGCCAAGGGCCGAGGTGGAGATGATCGTGGAGAAGAACGACGAAACTAAAGGCTTCACGGTGCACCTCCCCAAGGACATGGTCGTAGTGACGATGCAGCGCGTCGAAGATGCGGAGATGCTTGATAACCGACAGAACGTGTGGTTGCATGTGCAAATAAAGACGAAGGACCCGAAGTTATGGCACTCGATCGAGGAGCGCGAGGAGGCTGCAAAGCAATAGGAAAAAGAAGAAGTTTGGATTGAGTGCGGCGTGAACGGTGCGAGAGACCATAGCGGATGAGCACAAGAATGATGCCGACGGAGAGCTCCTGCCGAACAAAGGGACAGGAAGCCCCGAGAGACCGACGGTGCAGACGTTTCAGTCCTTGATCGGAGGCCTGTTGTGGATCGCCCGGTGCACTAGGTCAGACATTGCCTATACGATGTATCGGGTGACGAGGCGCGCACACGCGCCTAATGTGAGTGATTGGCGGACACCAAGTTCGCCATTCATGCAGCGTGAGCGAGGCCACAATTGTGGTGGAGGGGTAAAGTGATGCTGACTTCGCCGGCGACCGCGGGGATCGCAAGTCGGTGAGGTGGTGGCGTGCTGGCGGTCTTCAACATGGTGGTTAGCTGGATCTGCAAGAAGCAGAGCAGCGTCGCCGTGTCGCAGGTGGCGGCCGAGCTGTGGGGCATCGGCCAGTTGCTGAGCGAGGTCGGACTCAAGATGAAGATCCCCTACAAGTTGTCCGTAAGCGATCATCAAGTAAATAGAGGGCGAAAACACGTCTGGGTGCGCGAAGCACATAGCCACAAGATTCAAACTCATCAAGGACCCGCCTAAGAACAAGAAGCTAAAGGTCGCTTACTGCAAGTCCGGGTTGATGCGCGCGGACATCTTGATGAAGGCCCTGTCGACGTTGAGACCCTTGGCGTCAGGCGCTCATCATGCTCACGACACAACGGGCCCGTTTGAGCTGCCGGCGAATCGCTAGAGCTGACTATGGTCCGCCCAGTAATGATCCTTGTCCCCTACAAAGTATGGAGTGGACTTTGACATGCGAGTAATGGGAGTCCATTGCTGAGGGCTTTCGCAGTCAATGCGGGTTATAATTATGTTGCGGAGCAATGGGTCGAACCCTAATTGCCTTGAAACGTCCGTCCGTATGATTTCGAGAGATAATACAATCGCAGAGGTAATTTGCACAATTATTTTACTTTATGTTTTGCTGACATATATCTTTCATTATACTATATTTGGTATCCCTCTATGGATGTTTTAAGTTGCGCACGATCATCGCAAAATAATTATATCTGTTGGCATACGCCCTGGTTCTTGGAGCGACTCCAAAGAGTCAATTTTTGGCCTCAATGTTAGTCGTCTACTTCCGCCAGTTTATCATGTTCTAGCCGATTCAGATTATCGTTGGTTATGAACCCATACAACGAGCTCCATGAAGATGGTTCATTACTGAGAGGTCTCATGTTGAGTCTCTTCATCGCCAAGGTGGCGGTCACTACGTAGGGTAGGTGCCATGCGAGGCTACAGCAGTAGGAAGTTGTAAAGGTAAGTCAACACGTAAGTGCCGGGCAAACGACCGCGACAGATACAGTGGTGGAGCTCTCAGTGCTCTCTATTGCTTGCAAAGCAACAAAAGCAGAAGTGTGAGAGAGCACGAGTTCCCCGCAAGCCACCGTACCGCAGAGTCAATGCCATACTATAAGCAAGAAAGTCTATACAAAGTCAAAGTGCTACAATCTCCGAAGCACGCAGCCAGCAATTGCCAGCGGCATACAGTCTTCAGGTAAGCGCCTCGCAGGCAGGCACGCGGCCGAGCATGCAACCTGCAACCGTAGACGCGTGCTGCAGCAGGCGCAAGATCTCAAGTTCAGGATAGGCGCAACAGACTGTCAGAGCAGCCACTTCAATAGCTCACACTCCCACTTGATCTCGACGGCGGGTACCAGGTCGTCGTGATCACACTTGATGATGAACTCTGCTTCAGGTGACGTAGTCGTAGTAGAGGCTGCATATAGTTCAGGTGCGCATCGAAGACAACGGCGGTGTAGACGTTGCTGGTGCCGTACTGGGCCCCGCAGTAGGATCACGAGTAGCCTCATCCACAGTTGCAGTGTCGGAGCAGCAACAATCGGTAGCACCTTCATCGCCTGACGGAACCGTGTGAACTTAACAACCGACAGCGCCTTGGTCATCACGTCAGCCACCATCGCCTCCGTTCCAACATGTTGCGTAGTCAGACGTTGCAGTTCCACATTTCGTCGGATCATGTGGTACTTGTTGTCAATGTGCTTTGGACTTCGAGTGCTTACCAGGCTTGGCTGCCAACGCGATGTCCCCTTGATTGTCGCCAAGCAATAACGGCACGGGGTGTTTCCAAGACAGCTCGTTACAAAGCCCAGCAAGCCAGAGCAAGTCCTTAGTGGCTTCAGCCATGGCAACATACTCAGCTTTACACGTGCTCAGGGTGTTGATTTCTTAGATGCATACGACACCACATTGCCATCCAGCATCGTAACATATCCACTGATGATCCGCCGATCTTCAGGGTCATTTGCATAGTCGGCGTCAGAGTAGCAGCTGATGTGTACTCCATCGCCTTGCTCGACAGTCATAACAAGTCCGTAGTCGCATGTGGCCTTGAGATACCGTATGACTCGCTTGGCCTGAGCGTAGTGTGTATGATCATAGTTCGCCAGAAACTTGCCCAGATGCCGCGTGGCGTGAGCAATGTCAGGCCGCGAAGCGCTGGCGAGGTACTGCAGTGCACCGACAAGTTCTCGATACGGCAGGTAGCCAGTCGCAGCTGCCATCGTCGCCGTCGAAGGTGTCGTCGCCTCAGGGGTCGCACATCCATTGCAATCGCTTATGTGAAAGCGCTTCAGTACTTCGGTGATATACTGTCACTGCGAGTACACGATCTCGCGTTGCGGGCGGTCGATGAGAATCTCGACTCCAAGTAGGTCCTTCAAAGTTCCCATCGTAGTCAGCTCAAACGTTTCCTGCAGAGAGGCAGCGATCTCCAGGCACTTCTCACGGGGGTCCATCAGCAGAAGGTCGTCCACGTACACTGTCAGCAGGAGTTTTACTTCACCGTTGACCTTCAGCACTTAGAGTCTGTAGTCAGAGTCCAGCCGTTCGAACCCCAGTGTCAACAGCTTTGCATGTAGTGTACGGTTCCAGATGTTTGGAGCTTGCTTCAAACCGTATAGGCTCTTCAGTAGCTCGCATACCAATCCAGGTCCGTCCACTCGGAAGCCGGGCGTTTGTTCTATGAAGATCAGCTCGTCTAGGGCTCTGTACAAGAAGGACGTTTTGACATCATACTGCAAAACTTCCCAGCCACGCTGCACCGCGTAGTAGTTAGCTGCTCGGATCGTCTCGAAACGAATGACGGGGGCGTACGTCTCCGTGTAGTTCACACCCAGCTCCTGCTTGAAGCCGTGGATCACAACTCTGGCCTTAAACCGTTTTGTACGTCCTCGCTCGTCTCGCTTCACCGCGAAGACCCATCTGCAGGTGATGACCTTGGACGTCTTCGCCTTCGCACGCACCACTAGGCGCCGAATCTTGTGATCTCTCAGATATTTCAGCTCTGCCAGCATGGCTGCCCGCCATTGAGACCAATACTTGCTTGCCCTAGCCTGCTTGTAGGTATTCGGGATGTCGATGTCCACGCCGGTAGCTCGCACATGACCCACCACATAGTCCAGCAGCCGCACGTTCAGGTTCTGCGCTCGCCGTGGCCGCTTGATGCATGGCTCGACCGGAGGGGGCAATATTTTAAAGCCTGTCGTCTCCTTCTCCTCCACAATTTCTTGCGCGCTTTGCACTTCCGTCGCTTACGAATTTTGGTAGCCGCAGGTGGCTCCTCAGTCTGCGGAACTTGCTGTGAGGTCGGCAATGCTGTACCATCCGCAGCATCCAATCCACTTCCATCTAGCGACTCTGGTCTGTCACTGGATCTCAGCATGTTCTCCTGTGGTTCACCGGCGATAGAAACAATCTGCACCCGCTTCTCCTGCACAGCAGCTGTCGTGTCCCAACCAGGTAGATACGTTTCCAAACTCGTCCGGATCCTTGCTACAGGCACGGTATCGGGCAGCGCATGCGCACCATCCATGAACGCATTCTCCAGCAGGTGCTTCATGTAAGTTCCATCGGTCGTAAACTCCTCGTGGAGCCGCACGTTCTGGCGGCGTGTAGTCACAACTTGTGCTGTTTTTAGATCGATGAACTTGTAGCCGAGGGTAGATTCGCTGTAACCGAGAAGCATGCACAAACGAGCTCGCAGCTCCAACTTCTCTTTCCGCTGGCGCGACTCCGGAGGGATACGCACGTACGCCAGACACCCCAAAGTCCTCAGGTCCTCCAAATCCGGTTCGTTCTGGAACAGCTTGCGGTGCGGCGACACAAGACCCAAGGATCAAGTCGGTAACCAGTTCAACGTAGTAGTCATCATGTGCAGGAATGCTTCTCCCCATAGGATGGTTGGCATCTGCGTAGACGCCAGTATAGCTCGCACCCGAGGCAGGAATACACCATTCGCACGCTCATTCACGCCATTCTCTTGTGGAGAGTATACGTCGGTGGTCCGTTGTTCAATCCCATTCTCGTCGCAGTATGCCTTCAGAGGCTTGGTCAGGAATTCGCCACCTTGGTCAGACAACAGTAGCTGAACCTTCAACTTGCGAAAGCGTGTACGCGACCGATTCAGCAAGACCTTGATGTGAAAGGTGGCTTCGCTCTTCTCCTTCAGTAGGAAGGTCCACTTATACCTCGTGCATTCATCGATCACACACAGGAATGTGATGGATCCCTCCACCGTCTCTTCATTGATGGTGCACACATCCATCATGAGAGTCTCAAGCGGTCCAGACTTCCGCACTGGAATCCGGGCGTGATGCATTCTCTTCGCCTTGCTAGCAGCACACGCAACGCACTCGTAAGGTGTCAAGCCGTTTAATTAACTCCAACATCCAGCTTTTTCGAGAGAGTTTGCGCTGAATCCATGCCCAGGTGACCAAAGCGTTGGTGCAGCAACTCCATGGCCTTCTTGCTGTCCATGCGCTGCTTCAACGCAGCCATCACCATCACCCCGGTCACTCGTTCAGCACGCAGGTGATAGATGTTCTCCCGCATCATGAACTTCAGCGTTGTACCCGGATTAGAAAGCCAAGCGATCTGCTGGTCTGGTGAACACGTCAACTTGTACTTGCCCGTGGTCTGCAGGTAGCCCAGACTAATGATATTGACCTTGGCGTTCGCCGTATACACCACGTTCTCCAGCAGCCGATCCTCCAGCTCTCCAGTAGCCTGGTTCGCAATACGCAGTAGGACAGACCCACAAATCGTTGTGTGTTCAGTTGTACCATTCGCGAAGTCAAGCCGACTAGTTTTGTCTTCTCTAATGGTTGTGAACAATGACAGGTCTCTACAGACGTTTGCCTGGGATCCCGAATCAAGTATCCACTCCACTGAGCTCACATCACTAGCGTCATGCATACCTTGATTGTGCTCTACAGCATTCACCTGTCGAGGTTCACTTGGGTGCGCAGCACCATGCTGTTGCATGCTGTTGCTGATCAAAGCGAGGAGACGAGAGCTGGGGTCGGCGATCCCACCCACCACGGGGTGGTTGCGATGCATTGTTACCGCCAGACTGTGGTGGAGCACCACGACCATTCCAGGGACCATCCCGCCACGGCTCACGCGGCAGCATCGGCGGCGCCCCACTACGCTCAACTGGGTACCCTCGCCACGGCTGGTGCAGCGACGGTTGCCCAAAGTTTCCTGGTGGTCCACGCGGTGGCGAACCACCACGCCATCCAGCAAGTGGCAGTTCATCTCGACTCGCTCCCCGCAATGGAGTTCCGAAGCGCCCGCGGGTTTGCGACCTACTACGCCAACGCTGGGATGGAGAGTCAGCACGCCAGTTCCTTGGTGGCGATCTGCTGCGCCAATGCCGTGGTGGCGACCGACTGCGTCCGCGTCCACGCACTGGTGATCGGTTGCGTCCACGTCAACACACTGGTGATCGTTGACTTTCACAACGCTCAACACGAGAGTCCACATTGTCGTCCCCCGGCACAGGATGACCCCCTCGTGGTCTATCCTCCTTGCGCCATAGCTCGGACGTGGCTCCCTGCAGGCTTTGCTTCAGTCCCTGTCCAACTTGGAGCAGTAGATTTTCCCATGTAGGAGGGCTCGGACGTGGCTCCCTGCAGGTTTTGCTTCAGTCCCTGTCCAACTTGGAGCAGTAGATTTTCCCATGTAGGAGCCCCTTCTCCCACTGGCGCTGCACTCGCCTTGCCCTTCTTGACTTGGCTGCAGACCTTGCGCTGGTAGTGCTTCACGCGGTAGTTGCAGCTGCTGGTGCAGCAGTGACGACGGCACGTTGGCCATCTGTATCAGCAAGTCAGCAGCCTCTTGGCCATCTCCACCGGCACTGGCACTCAACGCCGTAGATGCGGAGCGAAAAGTTGGTGATGGAGCAGCAGTTGGCTGGCTTCCAACAATGTCCTCAATGTTCATCAGCTCGCGCTCCGTGCACAGCAAAGCAATCAAGCCTTGCGCATCTGCACTAGGAATCATCTCAGCCCGACGCACGCTGTTGATGAGCGACTTGGGAATCTTCTTAGCCCTGCTTCTCCTTCAACTTCTTAGCCAGCTCGGCCTTCAGCGGGATACCCGTGTTCTCCGTGCACTCGGCGTACCAGTGCCCCTCACCGTTGCTCATCTTATTGCTCTTGATGCCCTTGTTGCGCTTGCGCTGCTTCTTGCTGCGCTTGTTGCTGTTGTTGTTGCTGCTCGTCACTTGAGCGACTTGCATTCCACGCGGCACAGCAGACTTGGACTGCTGCTGCAAATGGGCTCTCTGGTGCTCGGCGGAGTGCAGGCGCTGCAGCGCTTCTGCGAGCCTCAACGACTTGCTGTTATTGTTGTTGATCCAGTCGGCATGCTCACGCGCCAGATCGCGGAAAGCCAGCACGCAGTTCGAGAGCAAGAGGCTCGCGTGCTGCCACTCCTCGAACTCGCCGTTGCGTCACCTTGCGTCCGACGTCGTCCACGTACGCCGAGACCGACTCACCCGGCCTCAGCTTGCGCGTGACCAGGTCCTGCAGCAGGTAGTCGGAGTTAATGCCGTCGCCGGCCTCGAAGTGCTGCACGATCTGGTTGTAGAGCGCCGACGCGGCCTTCATGCTGTCGCGCAGCTCGTCCACCCTGAACGCCGACCGCAAGTCGGCCGACAGGGACAGCGCAAGCGTCGAGAACGCCTTGTTCTTCCGCATGCGGAACCATTCCGCGTACTTGGGCGGCGCAGCCCCTCGTCCTCGTCGTACCGCTCGGTGCCGTACGTGATGTCGCCGAGGGTGCACGTCTCGATTTGCAAGGGGACCTCCGACTTCCACGCCTTGTAGTCCGCCTTGATCTGCAGCTTCGTCAACTTGATGGCGGGTGAGTTCCGCAGAGCTCTCGTCGCCTCCGCCAGCTCTTCGTCCACGTAGCGGCCACTGGGGTTCATGTTGTCCAGGGGTGGGCCGTGGATGTCTTCCCGATCTTCTTCTCCTTCTTCACTGGGTGGGGGCGACTGGTCGGCGTTCCCTGAGTGGGCTTGAAGCCCATCCAGCACAGCACGAAGAAGTGCAGCACCTCCTGGATTTTCTGCCAATGAGCGGACAAATGCGTCCGCCAGCCTTGATGAGACGACGCTGCCCTCCGCCACTAGCAGCGTCTTCATCTTCATTGACAAGAGCACCGCTTGCTTCCTCTGTCCGTGGCCGTACCCTTCTTGAGCTCATAACTTGAGAGGCTTCATGTTGAGTCTCTTCATCGCCAAGGTGGCGGTCACTACGTATACAGCAGTAGGAAGTTGTAAAGGTAAGTCAACACGTAAGTGCCGGGCAAACGACCGCGACAGATACAGTGGTGGAGCTCTCAGTGCTCTCTATTGCTTGCAATGCAACAAATGCAGAAGTGTGAGAGAGCACGAGTTCCCCGCAAGCCACCGTACCGCAGAGTCAATGCCATACTATAAGCAAGTAAGTCTATACAAAGTCAAAGTGCTACAATCTCCGAAGCACGCAGCCAGCAATTGCCAGCGGCATACAGTCTTCAGGTAAGCGCCTCGCAGGCAGGCACGCGGCCGAGCATGCAACCTGCAACCGTAGACGCGTGCTGCAGCAGGCGCAAGATCTCAAGTTCAGGATAGGCGCAACAGACTGTCAGAGCAGCCACTTCAATAGCTCACAATTATCTGTGAAACAAGTTCGCTTTACCTTCAACTTATCGTCCAACTGTATGGTAATCGAGGGTGCGTTCGGACTGCTGAAGGACATATTCCGTGTTTTGAAAAAGGCACTAAAGCAACGCTCGTCTACTGCATTGGTAAGAAACATCGTGGCATGTTCGATTCTCCCCAATCTTTTGACTGATCTACAGGACAGCGCTCCAATTATTATTGCTTCGACACAAGATGCCACAAGCGCAGAGAACGAAATAGCACCACAAAAAATCACGAACCAAGACGGGGATACAAAACGGCAATTGCATTGCTTCATTATTTGTGTAAATCCGAGTATTGTAAGTCTAACTTGTCCACTGTGTTATTTGCGTTGCTGTTTGGCGCTGGAAACTAGTGCTATCGCCAAAACCCTTTGCCAATTATTGGGTAGAGTTGAAGTGCCTAAACTCAGAAGTAACATGCTCTTATCTAAATCATAGCTGGCTAATACTCAACCCGTGTTGTTAAATTGGATGAAACTCCGGCGGTCGCAGCCACACTGGGCAAACGCACCATACGCGCACGAAATGGCCTGCCGATGCGCGGAAGAAGCTCGCCTAACGCTTTCATTCTCCATTCTTTCTTGATCCCTATAGGTTTCCTCCCAAGCTTCCGCTGCGCGCTACACCCCAGAGGAACGCCGCCGCGTCTTGGAAGCCTTTCAAAGTGGCGGTGACTGACGCAATATCGCTCGCCACAGGTCGAGTACCTCCTGAGCCAACAACCTTTCCATCGGCACCGCGCGCGTCACGGAGATCACCAACGGCATCAAGACGGCCCCTGACCTTTGGGAAAACAAGTGCGGTTCGTACACCCCGTGCACGTAGCAGGCTATGCTATACGAGGGCTTCGGAGTGAGCCTGTTCGAGTAGGACATCTTCTAACCACCATAAAAGCATGCTCGTGAAGATGCATGTAAAGCAGACAAAGCTACTACTGCGTCCATACCTCTTATTTTCAGGACTGCTGACTAATTGTGTTTCGTATGCATGTAGGTATGACTTCCATACTAAACACAAGTTTAATGGAGAAATCGGGATTTGGTCTTTTACTGAGGACTGTTCCCCGGTGGAACCCTGTGGAGCTTCCTCAACACAAACGCAGAGCTGTTGTCGTGGGCGAGGTGCAAAATCGACATTGCAATCGGAATCGCTCAAGCTTTGGAGTACTTGCACGACCGCCCGCCTCCTCTCATCCATCGCGACCTCAAGTCGAGCAACATGTTGCTGACGGATAAGCTGGAGCCCAAGCTGATCGACTTTGGAGTGAGCCGCGGAATTGCTGATATCACGATGACTGCTGGCGTGGGCACGCCCTACTGGACGGCGCCGGAGATCTTGGAAGGCAAGCGGTATACTGAGCAGGCGGACGTTTATTCGTTCGGCGTGGTGCTGTCCGAGTTGGATACGGGTATTGCCCCCTACAGTGCGGATGAGAGGGAAGGCGGGGGCAGGTTAAATCATTTACAGATCTTGAAAGGGGTCGTGGCCGGCACATTGCGTCCGACGTTCTCGTCCGAGTGCCCTCTGCGAATTCAACGTGTTGAAGCCTGTTTGGCCCATAACCCAGTGAACCGCCCCACAGCACAGCACTTGCTTCGAGAGCTAGAGGGTGACGGCGAAGATTTGATGTATGACCTATGAATTATATTTTTGTAAGTAAAAGATTATAGAGCTGCTTGCACTCACGACCACGGAACCGAAATCCTACTGCAAAGTGTAGCATTAATGTTCTACAAAGCTGAAGGCCATTCAGGCCCTAAAGGGGGTCGTGGCAGACACGTTGCGACCAAGTTTCTCCTCGGACTGTGGATTCAACGTGTGGTTTGATCCTGCATGGCTCGTGATGCGGCGACTGATTGCGGATTATGTTTTGTTCGACCTTGACGGCAACGGCGGCGAGTTGGTGTACTCTCTGTCATGTGAAATTCAGCTGTCTTCTCGGATTAATTATTACTTATCATTATTTTTCGGTTAGCTACTTTCTTCTGCTACATTGTCGGTCGTTTGTAGCAGTTTGACCACTTGAGCTGCAGTGGGCCGCTGATCCGGGTCTTGGTGGCAGCACGCCTCGAAGATATCGCGGATTTGCTGAGGGCAGTCTTTCGATAAAGTTGGGCGCAGCCTTCCGGCCACAACCTCGGCCAGGATCTGGATTGGCTCGAGTTTCTTGCCGTCCGAGGTCAACGTATCTTGGTAGGGAATCATGCCCGTGTCGAGCTCCGACATCACCACTCCGAATGAATAAATATCCGCCTGCTCCGTGTACTTCCTGCCTTCCAGGATCTCGGGCGCGGACCAATACGGCGTGCCGACCCCCGCCGTCATGGAGTTCTCTTGACGCCCTCGACTGACGCCAAAGTCGATGAGTTTGGCCTCGAGTTTTTTCGTTAACAGGACGTTCTTGGACTTGAGGTCTCGGTGGATGAGCGGCGGCGTTCTAGCGTGCAGATACTCGAGCGCGAGTGCGATCCCCGCTGCAATGGGGATTTTATCCTTGGGCAACGATAACAGGTCGAAGTTCTTGCGGAGATACGTCTGTAGATCTCCAGTGGGGAAGTACTCGATCACCATGGCCAAGTTGTTGAGACTGTTCCACGCCACACCGACGAATGCGACGATGTTCGGGTGGATCAAACTCGCGCTGATCTCGATCTCCTGGGCGAACTCCTCCACCTCCTCCGCCAGGTGGGTCTTGTTCTGCAGCAGCCTCTTCACGGCCACCTGCTGGCCGACGATGTCTCCGAGCCACACCTCGCCGTACGCCCCCTTGGAGATCATGCGCTTGAGAACGATGCTCTCGTACGGAATACGCTTCCCGGACAGACGCTCGCTGGAGAGCAGCGCCTTCAGAGTCGCGTTCCCATACTCAGACGATTGCATTGTCGAGTTGTTGACGAACGTCGAGCCTGCGCCGGCAACGTGAAGTGTATAGGGGTCTCGAAGCGAACGGGGGCCTTGAGCTCTGATGTTGCTGCTGGGGCTGGCTACTGTGTCTGGTAGTTGGTTCTCCCGACTCCGCTGTCTTCGTCGCCTCTGGACGAGCACCAGTAGCGCACCGAGGAGCACGACGATGATCGCTCCGATGATGATCGGGACCAGCAGCACCAAGTTGAAGCCTTTGCTCGTCGCTTTGGCTGCGGTCCCGTAGTCCTCGCTGAGCCACCGCGCGACCCAGAGACTGCCTTTGGTCTGCTCCATGTCGTTCTTGATCCCCTCGGTGATGTTTGCAGTCGTGTAGCAGGGCAACACCAAGGACCCGTAGCCGTCGTTCTGGGTGGCCAAGGCGCAGCTATTCCACGACGGCTCGTCCGCCAGCTCCAGCGTGTGCACCGCGAACACGACGTAGCTGTTGCCGTCGCGCTCGTCCTTCCACTCGTGCTTGCGCACCTTGAGCGTCGGCACCTCGGCCGGGTTGCCCCCCGTTACCCACATGGCCGCGTGGATCTCGTCATTGTCCTCGAAATCCTCGACCACGCACCTCGCCACCTTGAGCATCTGCGCCCCGCCGCACCACAAGTTGCTGTAGCTGGTGGTGTTGCCCGGCTGCTCGCAGGCCATCTCCTCGCACCCGGCGGCCTGGAACTGCGGCAGCGGGACTGCGAGGTCCGCCATCGAGTGGCCGTTGAGCGTCCAGATCGGCACCGGTTGGCTGTCCTTGGTGACGCCGAAGCCCGAGTCCCAGAGCAGCGCGCGCTGGGCGATGCCCGGCAGCTTGCTCCAGTCCAGCTTGAGCTCATCGAGGCGAGCTTGGACGGCGGACGGGACGCTGATGTTCTTGAACTGGGCCGCCGAGTCCCCCGCTTTAGCTCGGAAGTACAGCTGCCGAGCCAGGTCCGAGTTGGTCCCGTCGAACGCGAAGTAGCTGTCGTTCGACGGCAGCTTGGCGTCCTGGAAGCGCGAAGAGGACGCCAGACACCGCTGCACGTCGTGATGCAGGAGCATGGCGAAATCCCAAAGTGGCCAGAGGTTTCGTGGCCGTTCAATTGCCACGTGAGACTCTCTATTCTTGGTTGTTAGGATATCAATCCTGAGTTCACGCGAGTTGATGTGCGATTATTGGATTTCTTCTGAACTGATGAGCGCATGCTGCCGCCGGGGTGCCCTGACCTACTACAGGTTTCCATGTATTGGTCCGTGACCTGGAAATTCGAATACGAGTAGAGCTGCTTAAAGTTGGCTCCGTCTGTACAATGGTAACATTGGTTGATATCTATCCTACCTACCCACTCCCCGACCTAACAGTTAGTCGTCTCCTTCCAGCATTCGGCCTACTTGAGCAGCGTTGGGACGTCTCGCTGGGTCCTGCTGGCAGCAAGCCACACCGATACGACGGATGCGTCTAGGACAGTCTTCCGAGAAACTCGGTCGCAGCATCCCGGCCATGACGTCCGCCAGGATCTGAACAGGTTTGGGCTTTTTCCCGTTCGACGTCAGCGCGTCGTGGTACGGGAGTTTAGTCGTGTCGAGCTCCGACAGCACGACCCCGAACGAGTAAATGTCTGCTTGCTCGGTGTACCGGCTGCCTTGCAGAATCTCGGGTGCGGTCCAGTAGGGCGTGCCCACTCCTGCGGTCATGGTGTTGTCCAAGCGTCCGCGACTCACGCCAAAGTCGATGAGTTTGGCCTCCAACAGCCTTGTGAGCATGATATTCTTTGACTTGAGGTCGCGGTGGATGAGTGGAGGCGACCGAGAGTGAAGATACTCCAGTGCGCGGGCGACTCCGACAGCGATGTGGATTTTGTCTCTGGCCCACGACATTAAGTCGCCGTTCTTGGCCAAATACGTCTGAAGATCCCCCAAGGGGAAGAACTCGAGCACCATGAACAAATTGTTGAGCGTATTCCACGCCACGCCTACAAACGACACGATGTTCGGATGAACCAGGGTGGCGTTGAGCTCAATCTCCTTGGCGAACTCCTCAACCTCGTCCGCTAGATGGGTCGTGTTTTGCAGCAGGCGCTTCACGGCAATCTGCTGCTCGTAGAACTCGCAGAGCCAAACCTCCCCGTTGGCGCCTTTCGACAGCGCTCGCTTGAAGAAAATGCTGTCGTAGGGAACGCGCTTTCCCACCAAGAACTCGCTGTGGAGGAGAATTTTCAGCGTGAGATTCGACCCGGCGCTGAGATCTTCTCTGTCGCCGATCGACTTGAACCTGATCGTCTTGTCTCCTCCTCTCGTCGTCGTGTCTTCAATGGTCTGGGCTGTAGATCGTCCTCTGGTAGAGTCGTCTTCATTGGTGAGCTGGGCGTCTGCGCAGTCCCGATAGTAGCCGCGCCCTTGACACACAGGAGACTCCTGTAGCGCACCTTGCTCAGCCTTTGCTTGTCGCCTGCGCTTGAGGAACACACACAGGCCGACCAAGCCAAGAACAACAACAACTCCGGCCACGATCGGTACCAGGAGCATGAAGTTGAACTTGCTGCTACTTTGGTCACTGGAAGCCGTCCCTGCAGTCGCCGAGTAATCCTCCCGAAGCCATCGCGACACCCACGCGCTGCCCTGCACTTCTTGCTTCGAGTCGTCGATGAAGTTGGAGATGTTGGCTGTGTTGTGGCACGGCACCACCAACGACCCGTAGCCGTCGTTCTGGTCAGCCCTAGCACACGCGTTCCACGCCGGCTCGGCGTCCAGGTCAACGCTATGAATAGCGAACACGACGTACGAGTTGTGGTCGAGGCTGTCGTTCCAGGCGTGTTTGTAGATTCGCGGGGTCGGGACCACCGTCGGATTGCCGCCAGTCACCCACATGGCCAGATGAATCTCGACGGTTTGAACGAAGTCCTCCACGACGCACCTAGCAGCTTTGAGCATGTCCGCCCCAGTGCACTGTTGGTTGCTCAAACTGGTGCCACCATTGGGCTCTGGACACACGTGTTCGGTGCAGTTCACGCCCAGGAACTCGTCCACTGGGACGGCCAAGTCCGCCATGGAATGCCCTCCCAGCGTCCAAATCTTCACAGGTTCGTCGTCCGGAGTTAATCCGTAGCCGGAATCCCACAGCAGGGCGCGCTGAGCGATGCCCGGTAGCTTCTCCCAGTCGAGCTGCAGCTCATCGAGCCGAGTCTGGAGACTCGATGGAACGTTGAAGCCCTCAAACGGCGAGGCCGCGGCGCCAGCTTTGGCGCGATAGTACAGTTGACGCGCGATGTCCGAGTTGGTCCCGTCGAAGTCGAAGGAGGAACCGCTCGCAGGCAGCTCCGCGCTGTCGTACGACGCCGAAGAAGACGCGAGACGCCGCCCCTCCATCGGCACGTCGATGCGAGGGGAAAGCCGCAGAACTAGAAATGGGGGTTATCTTGAGGCTTGGCTGCCGTTGGGCTGGGTTCCCCACGTTTTGCGGCCAGAGCTTCTTCCGCGTTTTCCCTATGTTACCAGTTGAGTTGCCACTTGAGCCCTTCGTGCTGAGCATTTTCGAAACGCTTTTGGCCCTTGTCTGTACGGGGCGTAATTATTATGTGTTGCTAATCTACTGACGCATCTGTTGCAAGCAAATCAACGGAAAACCTGTTGCCCGTGTCGGGTTATCTGTTGCGGGTGTAGGGCTAAGCAACAGGTTTTCCGCGATGAAAATGCGCAACAGATAACAAGTAGAGTGTAGTCAGTATATGTGTTGTATCCATGAATGCTAATCGAAATGCAATTTGAGGCTGTGACGGCAACAGAGTAGATGCCTAAATATTTCGCTGCTCGTGTGCACGTATCAGTCCGGGCACCAAGTCGTCTACTTGGTAGTATTGCACGTCGCCGTGAACGAAGGCCACGCTCCACTCGAAAACCCCGTCTTCCTCCGACAGTCGAACACCGCCAACTGTACCAATACGATCTTCGCGAAAAGTAGAAGCTTGGCCTTCCTTTTGAACGTCAACTTGTGTAATGAAAGCCCACTGCAAAGGAGTGTAAGGCTCTTTGGTAAGAAGGGCTTCAAGCCGATCGGGATCCCAAAAGTTGGTAGATGCCGGCTCTTGTTGACGGGCTCAAACCGGTGCTCGAGGTCGGCCTGGAGACCTCCGTGCTTGGATAACTTCTGTTGCAAGCTCCAAATCTAGCTTTTTCAGCAGTTTGAGGGAGGCAATCACATGCGAGCAGACCCAGCCAGAGTGCATGTAACTCTTACAGGTGCATCGGAGTGTATCTCGAACCATTTCAATCTTTTCAGGTGCCATCGTAAGATATTAGACTCAGGAACATGAATCTTACGTCGGATAAAGGCCAAGTAGGGCGAAGTTGAAACTCTGGCATCGCTCGTGCGCGCTCGACGTTGACCGACACCTGTTGCAATGAAAGAAACTTCGTCCAAATGTCAAAGATGGGCGCAGTCTTCCTGTACTACCTTCTAGCGACGAAACAAAGCTGTATATAATCATCAATTAGCATAATGAACCTGGTAGAAAGTAAACGCAATATTTAAACGTACGTTTTCGAGCGCGTGGTAGTGACCGTAGACCCAGCCAAGTTCTTCGAACGCACAATGGCGTTACCACTGTTGAATACGATTCGAACGGGAATGCCACGTTGGCCGGGCTCCGTTACTTCACGATGACTTTCTGGCAACGTCAGTAACAACTTGGCCTTAGAGACTGCATCCTTCGGCAAAGGGCCTGTGCAAGTGTAATTTAGCAGCACGCGTTAGTATAATGTCACAATTCAAAGCATGTAATTTACTCACATTCGCAGAAATGACCCTGCGGGCCGTCCGATAACGTATCCGAACCAAGAATTAAGAGTCTGGGCAGAGCAGAGTTTAATACGTGAATCGTCGGGGCCTTCTCAAAGGCTGTGATCACCTCTCTTATCACTTTGTGGTGGCTCTCAATGGCCTGCTGTGTTGGCAAGACTCCTGGTATCGGACTGCTGTTTACGCTCCACCGCTCCCATCGCGATGTGAGCTAAACATCTTCTAGCCACTCCGCATACGCGGTCTCTCCTTTTAACTTCCACCACCGCACAACGCACTTCGAGAGATTGCGAAATTGATTTAGGGAGCGCGTTTCGCGAAGCCACTTCAGCTGAGGAAGTGCGTACTTCTTGTAGAAGCTTTTGTCGACTAGCTTTGAGCGCTGCTTTCTGGCCTGCCCCAGAAGATGTTCCCAACAGGACAAAATGATCACTTCCGGCCAGACGGTCTCCAGCGCACGAGCTATAGCACTGCAGTGATCGATACTGCAGCAAGCTAAATTCACGTCAACGTCAAGAAACATGCGTCCGTATTTAATGAGCGCACCGAACATTTGCTCGTATGCAAAAGTGCACTCCGACCGGACAAACATGTACAGCCAGGGCCTAAATCGCTGAACATGGTGAGTTGTCTCCCATTCAACAGAGATCCTACCGCAATCCACCAACGTCCAGTTGCCACAATGGAATTCGGTATGTGCCGTCCGTCGACATCGCAAGACTGCCTCTCGGAGAGGTTGTCGCTTTTGCCACGTTACGAAATAGCGCTCGCGAGGTCATGATTAAGCCGAGCGAAGCTTTCGTTTTTCCGTTGTCGTCAAAATTGTGCTGGAAGCGCTCGAGCACGAGCAACTCGTTCATCTTTGCGAAGTCTGACTCGTCGGCAGAGTCGAAAACTTCACGGGTTTGACACAATCGCGAGTGTGCCCAGATGTCAATTGTGTTGAAGTCGTCAATATCCCAGCCTTCCTCCATATTTTTCTTGATAGTCGCTTTTCTATTCTCGATCTTACGAACCTCAGGCACCAAATTCAAAAGGTCAGGATCGCGTCGATATTTGTGAAACAACATATTACGTACTCGACTTGCTCCCATACCTAACTCCAATAGTGAGTCAATTTCAGACTTGTGAACAGCTGCAATACCATGCCGCGTGCGCGAGACAGAAGCATCACCGTGCTCGCCCTTCTGCAACAACTCGTATCGAACTAAGTTAGCTCCAAGTTTCCGCTCAACAATTTTGAGGCGGCAGGGGCACATAGCATGCGAGCGACATGTGAACTCAGTCCCAGTGACATTTTTGGAGGTGTACCGAGTTTTGTAGGTGTGTTCAAACTCGTTGTGCTGCTGTAGTGCCACGGTCGCCTCCTGTAGCGAATCGTAGAATCCCACCGACACATACTTCGCTACGGTAGCCTCCACCAACTCTAAAGCACCGCGATCTACACCCACGTTGATCTCAACTTCGTCGTCGTCCCAAAATCTAGCTGCTGGCAAATCGAGTCCAGTTGCTCATCCTCATCAGCGCTGTCACCAACGTTGTCCTCCACGGAGCGTGCGTTCCCCGTTGTAGCTGAGCTAGTGCAAGGCACGGCCGCGGAAGCGCTACCTTCCATGATGCCTCAGGCTGGAAAGTGAGACCTGGAGAAGACAACAGATTTGTAACCACTGGACTACTGCGCATCTAAATATACACACAAAAATAAATTCCGATATGACTCGACGTATGAAGGGCATCACGTTGATAATGTAGTATCAGCATATCTTGGCCATAGAAATATACTACAACGCAAACACTCCGGCTGTCATTCGACTACATGGGGTAGTGCGATGTGACAGATAATCCAGGAGGCTCATTCATAGTATCTGTTGCGCATTTTCATCACGGAAAACCTGTTGCTTAGCTCCCCTACACCCGCAACAGATAACCCGACACAGGCAACAGGTTTTCCGTTGATTTGCTTACAACAGATGCGTCAGTAGATTAGCAACAGATAATAATATTCTCCCTGTCTGTACAGATTTCGCTCTCTCTCTGTATGTATGAAGATGAACCTGCAACTTTTGGTTCTTGGGGTCGATGTGTTGCTCAACTTCGGTGCGTGCATTAGTTCACGCTTCACGTGAACTTCGGACACTCGAAGGTCTCAGCTCTCCAACTGTAGAAGGCAAATTACTATAATAGTGTGGTGTTTTAGGTTCCGACACCATAACAGTTAGCTGTAGTGTCGAATGATACAGAAACTATGAGTTCAGAAGTTGTGTTTTTGTGACTTTGGGAGTAAGTGCATTTCTCGTCCGAAGCGCTTCACAACTTGTAGCATAGTAGAGGTTCACGCAACTTGGACATTTATTGACATCACGCGTCAAAGCAAAGTATTCCCAATATGGCCTCAATGCCAGCAATACGCCCTCTAATCCGCCCGTTCCAGCACTTTCACCACTTGAGTTGCCGTCAGGCGTTGGATCGGATCGTGCTGACAACAGGCCAAACCGATGCGTCGAATTCGCCCAGGGCAGGCCTCCGAGAAACGCGGGCGCAGCACTCATGCGATCACATCTGACAGTATATGGAACGGCTTCGGCTTCTTCCCGTCCGGCGTCAACGCGTCGTGGTACGGCAGTTTGCCAGTGTCAAGCTCCGATAACACCACGCCGAACGAGTAGATGTCCGTCTGCTCCGTGTATCTCTTTTCTTCGAGGATTTCAGGAGCAGACCAGTACGGGGTGCCGACACCGGCCGTCATGGAGTGCTCATGCCGTCCACGACTTACGCCAAAGTCGATGAGCTTCGGTTCCAGCTTGCGCGTCAGCATGATATTCTTCGACTTGAGGTCGCGGTGGATCAGCGGTGGAGATTGCGAGTGAAGATACCGAACAGCACGAGCGACACCGACCGCGATACCGAGTTTGTCTTGAGCCCACGTGAGCAAATCCTCGTTCTTGACTAAATAGGCTAGGAGATCCCCTGCTGGGAAATACTCCAGCACCATCACCAAGTTGTTGAGAGTGTTCCAAGCCACGCCGATGAACGTGACGTTATTGGGGTGCACCAAGTTGGCACTCAGCTCGATCTCTATCGAGAACTCCTCTACGTCTTCCGCGCGGTTGTCTCTGGCCTGCAGCAACCGCTTGATAGCGACTTGCCGGCCAGAGTATTCGCCAACCCACACTTCTCCGTTGACCCCCTTGGAAATTGCTCGATCAAATCGAATATTTTCGAACGGGATCCGCTTCTCGACAAGGTGTTCCTGCACAGGAGCGTCTTTAGCGTGACGTTGGACTCGGAGCTGAAGTCCCGTTCGAAGGTCGAGTTCCTCTTGAGAGCTTCTTCCGCCAGTCTGCGAGAAGCAGTCTCCGTGTCATCGACGGTCGCCTGTGACTGTCCAAAGCGTACTTGGGTAGAGCATCTACTGCTACTTCCGTGCACCTGCTTGGAGTCATGAAACTCTTGATAGGCGACGCTCGGGCTGATTGGGTTTTCTTCCGCAGGGCTGTCACTCTTCCTTTGCTTCCGTCGCCACAAGAGGAATGTAACGAGTCCAATGTGGGCGAGGACAATTATGACCCCGGCGATGATTGGGATGAGCAGCACCAGGATGATCGTGTTGCCACCGTTGCTGCTGGATGCATCGCTTGCCTGCGTGCCGTAGGCCTCCACCAGCCACCGAGAGACCCAGTCACTGCCCTCAACTTCCTGCATTTGGGTCTTGGCTTCCTCGGACATTTTGCCAACTGAAAGACACGGCAGAGTACGAGAGCCGAATCCCTTGTTCTGCTCCTTCGTGGTGCACTCCCCGTACGCCGCCTCGTCGTCTTTACCAACGGTGTGGATCGCAGCGACGTCGTAGGAGATGTTGCTTCCGCCATCTTTCCAGATGTGCCTCATAATGAGCGAAGTTGGCACCACCTCAGGGTTGCCGCCCGTCTTCCACATCGCCGAGCGCGTGTCACTCTTGTCGATAAAGTCCTCCACAGCACACCTCGCAGCGTTGACCATCTGCTCTCCGTTGCAGAAGAGGTTGCTCAGACTCGTCGTGTTATCAGTCTGCGTGCAGTTGATTTCGACGCACCCGACGGCCTGGAACTCAACCAACGGGACAGCCAGGTCGACCATGGACCATCCACCGAGGGGCCAGATCTGGATCACTTCATTCGTAGGCGACAACGCGAAGCCCGAATCCCACAACAAGGCGCGCTGATCGATGCCAGGTAGATCGCCCCACACGAGTTGAAGGTCATCGAGCCGTTGCTGAAGACGAAGCGGTAGCTGGAGGCTGCTGAACGGGCGAGCTGTATCCCCCGCCTTGGCGCGGAAGTAAAGCTGCCGGGCGAGATCCGAGTTGGTTCAGTAAGCGATCTGCCCTTCTGCAGCTACCGTCCGCACCTTGTCCGAGTCCGCGGCTCTGCAGCGCCGGGGTCCTCGGCGGCTAGCAACGCCAATTCGTCACCTATACAAATATACACCGCTCCACGCGATATCCAACACGCACAACGCCTTGTACATCGCCAATCCCAGGTGCTCGCACGTGATCCTCGACCCCTCCGCTTCTTATCGGGTCCAGGTAGGCGATAGCTGACTGGAGCTGTCCCTCTGTGAACTGTGCCCACGTGCGCGCACAACTCGCGGGTTCTCCCTTCCGGCGGATGTGTCCGCGGGGTACTGGTCGTCGATGGACGCACGTGTGCACTGTGACTCTGTGTGCACTGTGACTCTGTGTGCACGCTGCTCGTCACCTCGGACCGGGCTCTTCACTTCGACTGCACTTTGACCTTAGTCGACTTGCTACGACCAACTGCTTCGTGTATTGACGTTACACTCTGCTTGGCTCTACTGTATGGGTTGATCTGTACCCTACAGCGCTATTTCGATACTGACTACACTTTTACTGCCATCACTTGGTGGCGTGGGCGCCATGGGTGCCGGCCAACGGCTTCTGACCAGCACACCTTGGTCAATCGTCGGTCTTGGTCGTTGCCTTGGGTGAGGTGGCACGTCGGCGAGTTTCCAGCGTTGCCTCGCTCACCCCTTCGTTCTTCCACGCCCCTTGTGTGCTATCCTCGATGTCATGCTCTTCGACTCTTCCTCCGCTTGTTCACCCCGTCGCCGCCGCCGTCTTGACTGCTGCTCGCTATCTTTCGCCGCCGCTTCGGATATCTTTACCAGTACTTGCGTACCCTCCTTGCGTCGTCCGTCCTCGATCCTGTTCCTGTTGTAGTCCTTGCTGCTGGGTCGTCTCTCCTTGAAGCTCTGTTGGTCCTTGGAAGCATCCTGGCACTCAGAGCCTTGGCTACACTTGCTGCGTGTCGCTCGTTGCACTTTGACGATGGTCATCACGTACACTAGCTGCTTCGTGCACGTGACTGGTACTCGCTAATAGCCTTCTCAGCGCAGCCTTCTCAGCAACAGATGCCACTTTGCGCCACTAGAAATCGACTCGGTACTTACTGTTCCGTCAAAGGCAAAGAAGGCTTCATGCGATGGCAGCGGCGCCACTTTCAGGTATCGCGAACGTGCCCCACTGTCGAGAGTCATTCGTAGCTGCTCGGTGTCTTCAGGTAAATGGCCACGAGGAAGGAGAAACCGAACGTATGAGGCTTGAGACGGAGTGACAGCGGTAGCGGTGGTGCCAATGGTAAGTGAATCAAACAGTTGATCGCAATAGGGCCCGGCCGGATGTCCGCGGGGTGGTAAAGTGGTGAATTGGGTGTTGCTCAGCCTGGACTTGTCGTGGTGTATGAACGTTCGGCAGGTGAGAGATTGCCATTGGAGAAGCAGCTGGGCGATTTTTTGCTGAAGAAGAAGACCCCTAGATAATACTTTATCATTCGTTCCTCCTGCTAAGTTATGGATATGGTTCCACCCTGTTCGAACGAATCGAATGGGCTAATCGTTGCAAAAGTTGCGTCTAGAGCCGATCTCATAGACGAGTAGCTTTTAATTAACGCTCTCAATCTCCCCCTTCCAGCATCACGACTACTTGAGCAGCAGTGGGGCGTCTTGCTGGGTCTTGTTGGCAGCACGCGACACCAATGCGACGAATTCGTCGCGGGCAGCTCTCCGAAAAGCTCGGACGCAGCGTGCCCGCCATCACGTCCGCCAAGATCTGGAACGGCTTGGGTTTCTGTCCGTCCTGAGTCAACGCGTCGTGGTACGGAAGCTTGCAGGTATCGAGCTCCGAGAGCACCACCCCAAACGAGTAGATGTCTGCCTGCTCGGTATATCGCCTTCCCTCCAGGATTTCGGGGGCCGTCCAGTACGGGGTGCCGACACCGGCCGTCATGGAGTACTCTTCTCGCCCGCGACTCACGCCAAAGTCGATGAGTTTGGGCTCGAGCTTCCGTGTCAGCAAAATGTTCTTTGATTTGAGGTCCCGGTGGATCAGAGGCGGCTCGCGGGCGTGGAGATACGCCAGTGCACGACCGACCCCAATCGCCACGTCAATCTTGTCCTTGGCCCACGTGAGCAAGTCAGCGTTCTTGGCCAGATATCCCTGGAGATCTCCCAAGGGGAAGAACTCGAGCACCATCACCAAGTTGTTCAGGCTGTTCCACGCTACACCCACGAAAGCGACGATGTTTGGGTGCACCAAGCTGGCGCTTAGCTCGATTTCTTTCGCAAACTCCTCCACATCTTCCGCTCGATTCTTTTTGCTCTGAAATAGGCGCTTGATCGCGACCTGTTGACCTTGGAGTTCGCCGACCCACACCTCTCCATAGGCTCCCTTCGAGAGCGCTCGCTCGAAGCGGATGGCCTCGTAGGGAATGCGCTTCCCTACTAAATACTCGCTGCCCAAAAGCGTTTTGAGCGTGCCGTTCGACTCGGAGCTCAGATTCTCGCCCAAAGTAGACGTGCGCCTTAGTCCGTTCCACGTGTTGGCACTTGAAGACGTATCTGTGTTTTGAATAGTCTCGTTCGTGGGGCGTCCACGGGCGTTGTTGTAGTCTGCAGGGGTGTCCATATTGTTGCCGTGGTACAAGCTGTTGGGGGAGCCAAGGTTTTCGTTCGGAGAGTTGTTCGAAGCATTTTTACTTCGCCGATGCCTGATGAATACGACGAGGCCGACGAGGCCAACGACGATCACCGTACCGGCAACGATGGGCACGAGGAACAGCATGTTGAACCCGTTTTTGCTGTCGGTTGATGATGTTGATGCGCCTGAATAGTCCTCCACGAGCCATCGAGACACCCACGGAGTGCCCTGTACTTCCTCCATGGCACTACGCACGTCATCCGACACCTTCAAGGACGAATAGCAGGACAACACGAGCGATCCGTACCCGTCATTTTCGTCTTTACTTGGACACACGCCGTACGCTGGCTCGTCATTCTTGTCCACCGTGTGAACAGCGAGTACAGTGTACGGGATCTTGGTCGAGTCCTCTTCCCACTCGTGCTTCCTGACCCGCGGAACCGGGATCGACTTTGGGTTTCCGCCGGTGATCCACATAGCGCCGTGGATTCCCACGGGATCTGTGAAGTCGTCCATGACGCATCGCGCGGCGTTGAGCATTTGCTCGCCGTTGCAGTACAGGTTGCTGTAGCTTGTGGTGTTGTCTGGCTGCGTGCAGTTCATCTCGGTACACCCAACGTCTTGAAACTGCACCAACGGAATGGCAAGGTCCGCCATGGAGTGGCCTCCTAGCGTCCACATCTGCACCGGTTTGCTGTCCAGTGTGATGCCAAATCCCGTATCCCACAGCAGCGCAAGCTGAGCGTTGCCCGACAGACCGTCCCAGCCAATGTTGAGGTCGTTGAGCCGTTGTTGGATCTTGTCGGGCACTTGGAAGTTCGTGAAGGGCTTTGCAGAGTCGCCAGCTTTCGCGCGCAGGTACAACTGCCTCGCGAGGTCCGAATTCGTCCCGTCGAATTGAAAGTAGGTGGAGTTCGACGGCAGCACCGCGTTCGTGTACGAGGCAGACGACTCGAGGTGGCGTCTGGAGTCCACCTTCGTCTTCATGGCAGTCGAAGGTTTCTAGGAGAATCGACGGTGTCTATAACGGAGGAGGAGAAAGGCACAATGAGCGATGTCCGAGCTAGCTGTACTCAATTTGGCCCATCGCGGTGCATGGGATAGTGTGGGCTCCTCTTCGCATGGCTTGGCATCAGCGTCAAATAATCGGCGGACGTTTGCTGCTATCCGTTGTCCTCTATAGTTAGCCCTTCGGAGGTGATCTGCTAGTTCATTAGCCACCCCGTTCCTTCGTAGATCTGCAGGAAGCACTTGGGTCATGAAATTGAAATCTATCCGCCGCTCAGGTTTCCCCCAAATGAGATTAGAGTGAAGTCCTTACTGACAATCGCTTGCAATATCATATTGTCGAAATGTCCACGCAAACACCACTATTCAAAGACTATGACTTTTAGGTTTTCAAACAACAGTTTCTTTAATCTATGAGATAGTTTTCTAAACAATTCCCTTGAGCATCTTCACAACTTGAGGCGCCGTTGGGCGCTGCACTGGGTCAATTTGACAGCATGCCGCGCTGATCTGGCGAATTCGCTGACGGCATTCGTCCGAGAAGCTAGGGCGTAGGATTCTCGACATCGCGTTTGCCCAGATCTGGAAGCGGTTTTTCTCTCCAGTCGTCGGTGCCTCATTGATGGCCATACCCCTGTCAAGTGCCGATAGCACCGCGCCGAACGAGTAAATGTCTGCCTGTTCTGAGTATCTCTTGCCTTCGACAACTTCCGTCTTGGTGGCCCCCGCCTCTAAATGCTCCTGTGGGCTGCGACTCAAGCCAAATCCGACAAGTTTAGCTTTCAAAGCCTTCGTGAGAAGGACATTCCGCGACCGAATTCCGCGATGGAGAAGCGGTGGGGATCATGAATGCAGGTACTCCACAGCGAGCCCGATCCCAATAGCGATTCGAAGAACGTCCTTGGCTAAGAGTGACGCGGTGTTCTTGGCCAAATATGCTTGCAGGTTTCCTGTGGGGCGGTAACTTAACTTGTATATCGTCAGCAAAGTTTCTCGCTCAAATCTAGAAAATGGTCGCCTTGATCGGCATGCTCGCAGTAATTCCACTGCTTCTTCGGCGCCGGTCATTTGCAAGCGCTTACTCGGCACATTTGTTCCAGCACGTGTGCAAACAGCAGCCAGCTGCAGTCTTGCGCTGATCGTCTCAGTCTCGAACGTTTTCAGTCGGCGGTGAATATCGTAGCACGCAACATCCACATGGGTATCCGCTTGAGTAGAAGTACTGATAACCACCATACCTTTTTCTTCAACGGGACCAACCGGAAGAAGTATGCGGTATACCGCCCTCGACGTGTCGGATATGTCTTTCAGCTCCAGTACCAAGTACTGACTAAAGCGGGGCAAGAAATCATCGAGCTGCTGGCGCGTTGACAAAACGTATCCTTTGTGCTCCTCCGACTCGAACTGTGCGTTATCGTTGGCGCTGAATGTCAACTTGAAACGCGGTAGCTCAATCTTCATAACCCCTTGAGAAGACTTGAGCGGGTGAAGAAATGCTTCACTCTCGAAAGTAGTGGGTCACGGAACATTACGCCGGCAGTTTTTTTCCTTACCGTAATTTACCACCGAGAACATTCCTGAAACCTTCTTTCGGGACAGCAGCGATTTCAACGACGACCCCTCTCGACCACTTGAGAGCGAGAGCCACGTCTTTTCGATATGAGGGTAGTTTTAGAACCTCTAAACCGGTCAGATCTAATAGACGTTGATTTGACGACGCCCACTTTATAGCGAGAGCCACGTCTTTTGGACCTTAGGGCGTTTCGGGACCGCTCGTTCAAACCACATTGATAAAACCAATAGAACATTACGCCGGCAGATTTTACTAGTAGTTCGGACCAGCGCGACGTGGCGTCTCATCATTGGTTGAAAATCTATGTCACACACCTTCATGTTCGCTTAAGTACGCCAGAAATTCTGCCGGCTCGAGGAAAGATGGTGAAGCTCTTCTGTGCGATCGTTGGTGCGGCGGGCAGTGCGTTCGAGGTGGATATCGACGAGGGTGCATCGGTTTCCGCGTTGAAGAAGGCGATCAAGGCGGAGAGCGACGGGTTGATCAGAGCTGAAGATCCTTGGACGAAGCTGCAGCTCTTCCTGGCGAAGACGGAGGGCGGCGCGTGGCTCGTGTCCGACTCAGAAGATGTGAAGAAGCTGAAGAAGGGCGAGAAGACTGTCGCAGTTGAGGCTTTAACAAGCGAAGAGAAGGAGCTACAGGGGGAGTCTGGCCTGCAGAAAGTGTTGAAGGGCATGCAGAAGCCATCAACGGACCAGATTCACGTGCTGGTGGTGGTTCCGGAGCAAGAACACGCACAAACTGGATTGTGGCTTGTCACTGGATCCGTTGACAACGCGCTGAACACGAAAGGGATTCGCTGCAAACTGTACTGGATGGCGACGTTACGCATTGGATACTACGATCCTACGCGCTGCATCGGCAACAAGAATGTCGCGTTTTGGTATGAAGACAAGAAATTGTGTTTTCATGTTTTATTCGAGACAAGTACGTGCTTCTATATGCTGTCGCTGCATCGTAATACTGCTTCATTGAGGACTAACTCTGTTTCTTTTATAGAAGATGCTGCTTTGCTGTTCGAAACTGACTTAAGGACTGGGCCACAAACGCTGGGCTCTCCGTTAACTAACCAGGTTGTTGAGACGCGTGTTGCACCAGCTAACGCTGTGTCTACTGATCTCCAGCGCGTCTTCTACTGCGACTACGTTCCAGACGATTCGGAATCTCCTCAAAACACAGTTTCATCGATATCGTTGACTACAAGCGTTTCGAATCTGGACTCATCGACTGACGAGTTTCGTTTTCAGCGGATTGAGGACGAGAAGTTCTTCCTACCGTACGGCAAGGCAGAAAGCTACCATTTGGTGTCGAGAAAGCAAAGCAGAGACCACAAACGGGAATTCGCCAAGTACGATCGCGACTCAAACAACAGGCTTGCGCTTTCTCGCGAAATGCATGGTTGGTTCGACGGTATGAGCATTGAGGTTCCCATCGTCAACATGCTACCCGGATCTGTTGAAGAGAATCAATCCATTGGCAACAGACGCAAGGTACTGTGTGAGCGCGTAGTTCTGGTGTGTGTAAGTTTACTGACATTTGCGTGTAGGTCGAGGTCTTCGTGAAGGTTCTGGATGCTCAGTGCACAGATCGCGTTTTCAGTCGTTTGAAAGGAGGATCAACCACGACGGACGATCCGCTCATGATGAAGACGTTTGTTCACGTGGAGGATCCAGAAACATTTTGTTTGTGCATGAGGTGGAAGCACGACGATAATGCGGAGCGTTGGAGAAGCTTTTGGGATATGACTCCTGCGGTCGATTGAATGGAATAATGTGGCTCCCGAGTTAAATACTTCGAAGTAGTATTTGATTTCTTGACATACTTTGATCCTGATAAATATAAAGTTAGTAATATACAAAGATGGCGTACTCTCCTGAGCAATACCAAGCTAGCAAGGAACGAATCAAAGCAGCGCAGAAGCGCTACTACCAGCGCACACGCGAAGCCCGTTTATCTTATCAAAAAGACAACGATGACAAGAACAGAGACCAGATTCGAGCTCGCATGCGTAAACCCAAAACCGAACTTATTGATGGTGAAGTCGAACTTAATAATGAAACCGAACTTAATTAATTAATTAATTTTTTTCTCAAAAAGTCAATCCCAATATAGTCAAAGACAATGGCTTAAAACCTCCAAAAAGGTAAAAGCCAAATATTTGAATTAATTAATTTCAGAATATTTTGTAAATGACTAAGATATAAAGTCGATCCTGATACAAGGTCAAATAATTATAAAGTCATATCTACGGAGAATAATATAGTTAAGCATATATAGGCAACATGTTTGCATACGAACTCGAAGGATTAAAGAGATTAAATATTCAACCCATTCGATGGGGTAGTAGCAACCGTATTAAGGTACGTGGCAAGACGGGGTGCATGGTATACATTAGCAACATTTCCCACCCCACCAACCAAAAATTGGTAGCAAAGCAGTACCAGATCAGTCTAGGCAAGCTCCAAAAGAAGGTGGCTGCTGATTTCAAGGAAGACAGTAAGTACCGCTTCTACCAAGGTAAGGACATGGAGTCGCACCTCTACGAGGGAATTCAGCCTGCTGAGTTCTACGACAAGCTCGAGAACGTGCTCGCAACCCAGAAGTCTGCCTTCAAGGTCAACATCGCTCTTGGATACAAGCTTGTCAGCAGAACTGATGACAGCGAGACTCGCTACTTCCACCCGAATATTAGCAACACGTCTGTATTTAGCACTCCTGTAGCTATCAACAGCAAGGCTAATATTCGTAAGAAGGTGATCTCGGAGATTCGCTCCATGGAGTTGGCTGACAAGCTCAACTACCCCAGCTCCGGGTACATGGTGAAGGGGATTACTGGCTTCAAAATCTATATCTACCAACGCGACCATGCTCTGGGTGATAGCGAGGCTGTCATTCCTAAGGCGATTCGTAATAACAAGCACGTCATCAACTTCCCCAAGACGAACAACGAGTGTGTCTTCCACTGCATTGCTTATCACAAGCAGGAGGGAGCCAAGAAGGATCCTCGCAGAATCCAGGCTCTGGTGAAACAAGCCTTCAAGCAGTACTGTTCGTACAAGGAGATCACCTACACTCTGGGTCTGTTCCGCAATTTCAAGCTATCGACATTCTCCAATTCGATGAGCTTAAGGAGTGCTTCAAGCTGAACATCAACGTCTTCAACATGGATGTTGAGACGGGCAAGGTTGAATGCATTCGCTGCTCGGACAAGGACTATGATTCGATCAACATCCTGTCGCACGAGAATCACGCTCTCTACATCACGAACGTTGGTATGCTCCAGCAGAAGTACCAATGCTCTATGTGTGAGATGGTGTTTGTTAGCTCTGATAAGCTACGCAACCACACTAAGAACCAATGCGAACTCGTGAACATCGAATCGTTCCCAGCTTAGCCAACCATCTACCAACCCGCTTCGAACAGCATTCGTTCCATGCTGACTAAGTACTCCATCAAGGATGCTGATCATTACATCGATCACTTCATTGTCTATGATTTTGAGGCTATCCTCAAGCCTACGGGTGTCAAAAACGGAGAGAATACTATCTTCACAAACGAACACATTCCTGTGTCTGTTTCCGTGGCCGACAGCTTGACTGAGGAGGTGCGATGCTTTGTCAGCGATGAGCCGAAGGAGTTGCTCAAGGATATGTTCCAGTACATCAAGGAAGTTGCGGCTAAGATTCAGCAGTACAACGTCTCGAAGTACGAGTCTTTGCTCCGCAAAATCATCAACGTCCATGGTTTGACTGACGCTGAGGTTCCTGGTCTAGACTTGGGTAAGACGTACAAGATGGATGATGTCAATGCTTGGATTCAGAACGGGGAGTTTGCTTGTTTCTTCGATTTCCACAGCAAGCTCACGTTCGGTAAGAAGCGTTCGGATTATGGCAAGCTGAAGCAGTGCATTGGTCAGGTACCAGTATTCGGATTCAACTCTGGACGCTACGACATCAACCTCATCAAGGCGGACCTGTTTGCAGTCATCGGTACCGACAACATCACATCAGTCATCAAGAATCCTAGCTACATGTGCATCGCCACGTCAGACATAAAAATGCTTGACATTAGCAACTATGTTCCGGCAGGCACCAGCTATGCAAAGTACTTGTCGACATATCTCGGTGAGTGCAAGTGTGATGACAAGATTCGATGCGTCTGTGGCCTAGGAAAAGGCATCTTCCCGTACGAGTACATTACTTCATTTGACGTACTCAGTCAGACGGAAGTCCCTCCTCAGTCGGCGTTCGACAGTGCTCTTCGTAGCACTAGCATCAGCGATGAGGACTATGTGCGGGTACAGTTCGTCTGGGAACACTATGGCATGAAGTCAATCAAGGATCTACTCATTTGGTACAACAACCTCGATGTAGTACCCTTCATCAAGGCCATCAAAGCCCAGCGAGAACTATTCAAACGTTTCGAACTTGATATGTTCACTGATGGTGTGTCGCTACCTGGTCTCTCTGAGAAAGCCATGTATCAGACGAGCTTCAACAACCTCCAGCAACCCAGTAAGGAGCCTGCTGAAGCGTTTGACTTTCCCGCTAGTCGCTTAAGTGGATATAAGACCCAGGATGCTGATGCCGATCGTGAATTCAATATGACGCTAGAACACCTCAACGACTTGCTAGAGCGACAAAAATACCTGTGTGGGCTATGCTACAAGCAACTCACAACTGATACTGCCTCGGCTGACCGAATCAATAACAAGCTCGGACACATCGATGGTAATATCTTGATCAGCTGTGTGGGATGCAACGTTGCTCGCAAGAACATGCCGCTAAAGGGCTTCCGCCACAAGAAGCTACTTGAATTCAACTCAGACAGGTTGGTGTACAGTATCGATAGAAAGGAGAAGGACATCTACACCAAGATGAAGGCGAACATTGCTGGTGGTCCTTCTATCATCTTGAACAGATACGCGAAACGCAACGAGACCAAGATTCGAGGGGGTAGGATCTGCAAAAAGATCATCGGCTACGATGCTAATGCTCTGTATTTGTGGGCTCTTGGTAATGAGATGCCATGTGGACGGTTGACTACCATCGAAGCATACACAGGGATCGTCGATGATATTGTAAATGACAAGATCTTTGGCTTCCTCGAGTGTGATATCCTTACACCAGAGCACCTCAAACCCTACTTCAGTGAAATGACCCCAATTTTCAAGAACACCCTTATCGACTGCAGCGATCGGAGTGTCATCGGTCAGCACATGTTCGAGTACAACGAGGAGCGCAAGCAAAGCCGAGCAAAGCCGGCTCGCAAACTCATCGGGAGCTACTTTGGTGAGAAGATCCTCATTTATGCACCGCTACTCAAATGGTAGATTTCTCATGGTATGGAGATCACCAAGACTGACAGCTTCATCAAGGCTAGCTCTCACAAGGCATTTGCACCATTCATGGAAGCCGTATCGAGTGCGCGACGAGAGGGTGATGAAAATGTTAAATCCATCTGTAAGATCATTATTGAGAAGGTATCTGACTCTGATATGGATGATTTAGTCCAAGAGTTGAAAAAAATCATTACGAACCCTAAATCATTTGATGCGCTCATTATCGATAGATTCATGAATGAATCGACAACCAATCCTAAGATTCATTTGGTTCTAGACTTGTTGACTAAGCTGAAAACGCTTTGTGAGGGTAGCAATAATAAGGCTATGATTGCTGAGATGATGAAACTGGTTGGTAATAGTGCGTTTGGTCGATCTGGCATGGACATGAGCAAGCTCAAGGAGGTCAGGTATGAGTCGGACGATAAGGCAATCAAGGCCAAGATTGAGCACTTCACCTTCCATGGAATGGAAGAGCTGAATAATTCATGTGAATTCACTATGAAGAAGCGAAAGCTCAACAATAAGAACCCAATTCATCTATCGATTGCAATCTATCAGCTCGCTAAGCTCCGTATGCTGCAATTCTACTATGATTGCATTGACTTCTACTTCGACCGTTCGGAATTCCAGTACCAAGAAATGGACACAGACTCGGCTTATATTGCGTTCAGCTGTGAGAAGCCATTCGTTGAGTGTATCAAGCCCGAGCTTCGTGAGCATTTTCAGCAGCATAAGTACGAGTGGTTCCCACGTGATTATAGCGAAGAGATGGCTCAGTTTGAACGCCGAACGCCAGGTTTGTTCAAGGATGAGTGGTCTGGCGATGCTATGGTATCATTGTCCTCTAAGAACTACATTTGCTACCTACCAGACGAATCTTACAAGGTCACGGTTTCAGCGAAGGGAGTCCAGCAGAGTGGTGGCCGCAATGGCGACGTCCTCAACCCAGATGGCTTTGAATCAGTTGTTCGCGATCGCATCACGCTACAGGGCACCAACAAGGGGTTTAGACTCAGTAAGGAGAGTAAGTCAATCATTACGTACACCCAGACTAAAACAGCTCTAAACTACTATTATGACAAGCGTCGTGTACTTGCGGATGGTATCACCACCGAACCGCTCGACATATAAGCAACTACCTGGCAGGGGATTTTTTTGTTTTAAAACCATATAGAGCGATGGATCAGCTGTTGTCCAAATTATACTATGACCCCAAAACGGGCTATGTGGGTGCCCAAGCCTTATACCAGAAGGCTAAAGAACTGGAGCCGAAGATTACGATGAGAATCGTCAAGGAATGGTACTCAAACCAGAGCGATATTCAGCGATTTCAGGAGCAGAAGAAGCGATACGATGGGTTCAAAATCGCATCGACTAACCCCAATTCGTGGCAGATGGACTTGGCGTTTTGGGAGAAAAGACCAATCTTGACTGCGATCAACATCAACTCTCGCCTAGGCTACGCAAAACTACTAACCAACAAAACTGGCCCGACCGCACTAGCAGCAATTAGGGTTTTTGTCCGCCTCCATAAGGTTGACATTCTCACAACCGATAATGGTTCAGAATTCATGAACCAACAGGCTCAGAAATTATTCAAAACTAAGAAAACTGACCATTTCAACAATGAGCCTGGTGATCACGCCAAAATGGGTAAAATTGAACGCTTCAATAGAACTCTGAAGCAGCGCCTTGTCAAAATCGAACCAAAGCGACTAACCCAGAAGCTCATAGCTGCTGTTATTGAGAACTACAATAGCACGACCCATCGGACGATTGGTATGACCCCCAACGAAGCTAAAGGTAAGGTAATTGAATCTGAACTAGGCTGAAGCCGAGAGTATTGAAAACGAGTTCGAGGTCGGTGAAAAGGTTTTGTATCGACTAAAAAAGAAAACATTTGATAAAGAAGCAGCACCTAAGGCTGTGTATTCGGTGGTAGGTATTGATGGCTACTGCATCCAAATCAAGTCGAAAAACGGACACACTCTTTACAAGGGGTCAAAACGATCTAAAAATTGTTAAAGCAGAAACATCTGAAGCTACTATCAACAGAGGTGATATTTTAGAGGTGGAGAAGATCTTAGACCACAAAAAGATGCAAACCGGCAAGTACAAGTATCTCGTTCAGTGGGTCGGTAATGAACTTGACTCCTGGGAGCCACAAGATAATCTTAGATTAGTCAATAAGAACAAGAGATCAACCTTAGAGTATGAGTACTGGAAGTCGATAAAAAATGAGTCGAACTAGCTTCGAAATAAGTTTAATAGAGCAATCCTCTGTAACCGTTGACTCATCTATATCTATCAATTTATTTTCCAAAAATAATGCTTAAAAATATATGACTTCATATATAGAATGTGTTGCAACTGCGTAGAGAATCAACGTGAGCTTGTACAGCTCCGAAGAAAGCTGTGGATAATTCAAGAGGTTAGTCGAATCAAAAATGAACTCAGACATTTAGACCCAGTAGCCAATTTCCGGGAAACCGTGTGCAATCTACAGTACCGCGACCAGTTAGAAACGATATTTGGTGTGCCGTTTCATTGCATCAAGGATCGATACATCAATCTTCTCAATGAGCGAAACCGTATCTGTCATACGTATCAACCATTTAGGCATGACTCCGTTATGCCAAGCTATTGGTGAGTATGTGTTTAATCGATGCTAATATTTTTTTATGACTACCATGATATAGTTAGACAATGTTTCCCAACTTTACATCCCTCGCTCAACGAGAGCAAAAGCGGCAGGAGCTACTCGAACGAGCTGAGCGCCGAGTTCGTCAAGCCAAGTCCAAGCGCCTTATGTACGAAGGTGCATCATGGGCTAGCGATATCGCGAATGGTA